AATTCCTTAAAATACATAATTTAACATCTTAAAATCTTATGAATACACATCCTTCTGCTTGTTTCTCACTTGACGTCGAGTACTTCAAAACCACACTTTGCTTTAATTCACTACACAAACTTTATTCAATTTATCAGTTGACGAAATTACATTAATCGTTAGATATATTCGTAAGATTTAGCCACGTTCTAGGTTATGCTTGTTTCCAACTTGTCGTTGAGTATTTCAGTGGTTCTGTGGGCAGCCCAGCAAGTGTGGGTTGTGGGAGAAAGAATCTTTTTTCTCCAGGGTATGTGCGATGTCGTGGTTTGCGGGACTTCAGGGTATTACACGTGGATGGGCAATTAATGGTGTTTTCCAATTTAAGTTTGGAATTCATTACTGAAACTGTTCATAATTACTATTAGAGATTCGTTAAATAAATCTCCCATTTAATGCTAAATCCAGCGACAATAACAAACTAACCTAAGGCTTCAGGTATTCAGGAAGTTGACATTGATGTTCAATAATACAGTGATGAAATATTTCAATTGACCCACATTTCTGTAATACAAACCGTAGAAACGAGATACACTGGAAAGAAATCCTTTCCGTTAAAAAATGATATTTCTTAAATTTTCCCGGTGACATCAACCTTTTCAGGAATGAAAACACTTCCAGGGACAAAAATGTGAATAAAAAAAAATTTGAAGTAATGATCTCTTTAGAGATAAAAAGTTGAAATAACATAGTTTTTAGGACTGGAGATAACATATTTTCGAAAACACAAAGAACGAATAACTTGTGGAATAATACAAAGTAATGAAGAACATTTTTATTGCACACTGAAATACTACAACTGAAAAAATAACATTATTACTTTATAATAGCCAAGCACTTATGCCTATTCTCATATGAAGTAAAAAGCAAAATAACCCTAGGACTCGGTCTTTGCGACCAGCATCATCCATAGATACGGTTTGTTAAGATAATAAGACGTGAAAAATCTCTAAGAAGTATCAGAATTCAGAGTTCTATAGCTCTGCCTGAAACATGAAAAAGTTCTTCTCAAACGAAACATAGCTAACTGCATCAGCACACTCTTGACTCAATACCAGTTGGTAAATCCGTCTTTTGAGTACCTTTGCATCTGTCATATAAACATCTGCGATAAAATAGAAATATCAGTGAGTATGTTAAACTAAACTACTCGCCGATGGCAAAATTCTTAAATCATAATCGTAGATGTTTTTTAATGCTTTAAATCACCAGAAAAGAACAAGAAAAAAGAAAAAGCATCCAAATCTATGTCAATAACTATTAACACCATAATTTCCTGTCAAGAACAAAGTACAATCAGCACACGCAATACATCAGTTGCTTCAAACCAGTTAATCTGTGCAGGAAAACAATCTCATTCATCCTCGTTTCATAAAGTCAGCATTAAAAAAATAATATACACATTGGTGGCATTAAGTCGTACTTGGAATTAAGGTTTATTATATATGTATATATGCTAAGCCATAAAATAGAGCTATTGAGGAGACAGAACTGATCCCGACTTTCACTGGGATGTAATAATGTGATACTGAATAGATTGGACTAAATAACCACTTAGACATCACTAGATATGTTCCATCGATGACTGCTTATCACTAGTACTACATCCATCTATATGTCTAGAAATGTACATAATGGTTTCTTTATCCATACACCTAATAAATCCTTGTACACAAATTTCATCTATAAGACTTGTCATGAAATTCCTATGCTCAATTTATTAAGCGATTGGAACGCTGGTAACTTGAATTTAAATGCGGAGTTAGCAATTCCCGAGAAATATTTTTCAGCGTTTCGATATCGAAGCAACGTGAGCACTTCATATGTCAACTTTTTTTTGGGAAAAAGGAAGATATTCCGAACGAAATTTAAAACAAAAAAAGAAAAATTCTTTTATCACAATTAATAGACAATTCTAAATAGAACCGATTTCTTATTAATCTGAGTAAATTAACTTTTCTTAGGATCCTAAACTGAGAAAGGCTAATCACAAATCATCCCTTCAAGTCGTCGGGAGATAATAAGCAACTGATTACCTATAGAGACATAAGAAAATTGAACAAATGATTTAATAGGATAGCAATATGAAACAATAGCTTTTTCAGTATTTCGAGAAATTGTTTTAAATGTTAAATTTATAGAACAGTTTTATGCCAAACTTTAAGACCAATTACAACAAATATATATATTAGGTGTAGAAGCAGAAATTTATAAATCATGGATATATGGTTGTTCAGCAGACCGCAGTATTTTCCTCTTAGTTGCACCGGTTTGTTGTCTCTGGATTTCAAAATCGAGCATTTCCTGCTCAATTAGCAGTTCCTCATCAATGTCAGTCATTATTTGACGATAATCGGCTATGAGATCATATTTGCGGAGGTTAGTGATCTTAAAAAAAACATTTTAATCACTTATATTTGTAATAAAACCCTTTCTACAGAGAATATTTCTCCAATAAACTAAAGACATGGTCGTTCGTTTTGTTTCCAGAAACGACATATTTCGCTTTTGCAGCTCTAACAAACCTGTATTTTTGAGAAAAAAGCGGAACTAACAAACTAAGCATAACTTTAAGTCTGTTATACTTTCATTTTTTATATAAAGTATACAAATAAATATACACACAATAACGCAATTAAAATTGCAAATATTTTAAATTATTTTTTTACAAGTCAAGAAAAAAGCCAGCAAACTTACTTTTGTTCTTCTGAATTTTTTTTTATACCATGGAGTTTGCTCACTCCACACATCTTCTATTCCTTTGTAATCAAAAAGTTCCCATCTCCTTGTCCACGGCGGTGGACGCAATTTAACCAAAAAAGATATAATTGACCAAAATCCATTAATGAGTTAATAACTGTATACAAATAATGACCGAAATCACTGAGTAAATAAGTGCAGAAGTTTTTCTACATGGAGTACTTACTCCACTAGCAGGCAATAAATGTGTTTTGTTTTTAGAAACGCTAAAGTCCAGTTTTGAAAAAACCTAATGAACAGAAAAAAAAAATGTAAACCCTGTTTTTATAAGAAAAAAAAAAAAACCAGAATTATAAATAACATTTCTGTCTGGTTCGGATATGACAATTAAAGAAACAGTATTAAAAGTAAAAACAAGAAGCACCTTCAATTTTTAACAACTACTCGTACTAAAATTAGATTTAGATTGCAAAATATAATTTTGTAATTTCATATTTTTTTCAGAAACCTTATCGTTCTCGGAGTTTCTAAAATTGGTCGAAATTGTGCTATATAATATTTGTCATATCGGAGTAAAGTGAAGATTAACCTTTAAAGGATTTATGGAAATAGGTTTACCAACAACATGAGACGTAGGTTCCATGTGAATATCGAATGTACTATATTCGGGATAAGCATCAATTAAATAGCTTAAATCATCATCCAAACGCTTTTCCAGTTTGATTACTTCTATTTTGGTAATTGTTGGTGTGTACATTTCATACATAACTTCCACTCCTGTAAGTTTTTAGGACAGTTTATTAGAGAACCAAACATCAAATTGGTCCCAAATCAAAAAAAAAGAAACCTATTCCTTCGATGACGTTCCGCAGTGTAAACTGTGACTTCAGACCTTCCAATCTGCGATTAATGCATATGCCCAAAAATCGATTCCTCAATCCGATCAATTTTTTATCCGAATAAGTAACAGCAACAATGGAACCTTCAAAAAAAAATGAGATCACATTCTCTTGTATTTTTACTACTAAAAAAATCCTAAAAACTCTACAATAATCCACTTCATACTTAAATGGTCTAAGGCTGATTTTAGCAACTACCAATTTTGATAAACACGTTAGAAAATTGTTCTGCGGAATAGAAATGCGAAAATGAAAAAAATTCACGTACCAACATAGAATTCAGGAATATCTATTCGCAAACGACGCTCTAACATGTCTTTTCTTTCCAGTTCCTCCCGCAACAAATTTCGTCTGCCATGGATAGAGGAAGGCTGGAAGTCTGGATACACCTCTCTATAAAACTGAATCCACTCAAAACCTTTACAAAATTAATGCGTTGCAAAATTTTTAAAATGAAATATGCTTACCGGAAATTCTGTATGTGCCTTGCAAGTTTGATTTTTCTTTCTTCACCACAGATAGAACGATATGCACGTTGACCCACTATCTTTGCTTCCAGAAGTAGTATTCTGATATTGCACCGCATTTTGAAGCTTTTGGGCTACAGCTATCTTAATCCAATCTATGTTCCAAATAATTTCGTAAACCTCTACATTCAAAATCACCCGAAAATTTCCTAACATAGAAGTGAAACCCAGCAGTCTTTAAATCATTAATTTCCTTGAAGCTATTCTAGTAAAAAATAACGACTGGTTTAAATATATTTTTACGGCTTATCAATGAAACTTTAATATATTTTACAAATAAAAATAAGAGTTTGAAATAACGGTAGTCGATTTTTGACTTTATGAAGAATAGTTTCATAAGATTGTTACTTTTATGCAAATTCAGTAAAACAAAATAATTTATATAAAAAAGGAAAAGGCATAAATTAAAATAAAAAATCGAAACAAACACAAAATTATTAAGATATACAACTTCTATAACCACATAGAATTTCAATGCAATTAATAAAACACGGAGAGAAAAAATAGAAAAAAAGTTTAAAAAAAAAAAAAAAAAAAAAAACAGCACTATCAAATTGTAACCAAAGATAAACCACACGGACCAAAGACGGAATATACATTTCATAACAGGTATAATTTTTAATTCAATTTATACAATGTATTTAATCAGATATGAGAAGAGCACTCAGTTAAATAAATTTAAGTAAATATGAAAGCAACATAAACGCAGTACAATATCTTGAAAGAATGTAAGGACTGAAAACATCCATGGTCAGCAATTTCTGTGGTAAATCAAACAATACCAGTGAACATTCTTGAATTGTAATATATAAAACAATAAATATTTTAGTTAACATTAATTAATAGTATATACAGAACCACTCAAAACATCCCAAGGAAAATACTCATCTTCAGAAGGATTTTCAGTACCAAATGACTCGCTATTACCATCTTCTATTTCTTCTGGTGCATTGAAATTGTGACGTTCTTCCAAAAACAGCTGTTCAAGCGCTTCAGGAATCTTACATTTACAGAGGTCTGAATAACACAAAGGGCACACCTGAATGAATTAATGATTGAAGATTTTCTAAAATAAATAAAATTTTGTCCTTCCAGAAAAATAAATTCCTCTCAAGCATAGATAGAATAGACCAATAAAGTATCTTCAAAACCAAAAGCTATAAAATGACATGCCTAATTTCCAGAGAGAAAATAAAATACTAGTTATCTAAAAAGTATTTACTGGCATATTGCTTCCGATGTTAATCTTCTTTATCAAAGATAAATCATGGACCTGTTTAACATACAGCCATTTTTTTAAGCATTCACTATGGAAAAAATGATTGCAAGGTGTTATGCGTGCATCTTCCAGTATATCAGACAAACATATAGCACATGCATCGCGTCGTTGTTGCATTGCTTCTTTGGATACACGGGGCAGTCGTGATAAGCTCGAATATGCTGCACGTCGTGATTGCACCCTAACAATTCCAGACTGTAGTCGCCTCCAAACACTAAAATACATGTAGAACACCAGAACTGCCAGGCTTGTTAATGTCCAATGACCTGCAAAATAGTTTTGTTCGACACCCAAGATTTTTATAAAAATATACGCAATCTTGAACAATACATACTATTTTAGCAATAGAATCTACAAAAAACGCATGGTTAATAGAAGTTAAAAATCAGCTGCATCCCATCTTACTAAAAATCGAATTACTTTACTGTGAAGTGAATCCACCTTTTAAGGATGTCAAAATACCGAAGCAAACAACATTCAGTGCAAGTAATACTTCAACACCACAAGTAATCGTTTTGCATAGGAATACGACGTAGTCAGCTTGTCCCCATGCAACCATAGACTCTGTCTCCAATCTATATATGGCATATACAATGAGAGCTGATAACGTATGTAGTGCCGTCAGCAAACAATTTGAACCTATTATTAGACACCTGAAAAAAGAATCAATTCCTGATTAGGGAACTGACTGTTAAGTAAGAAAACACACAAGTCTGAAAATATTAAATGAAAATTCTAACCACAAGTCAATGGGTAGAAATCGAGTAACAGCAATGGAAGCACAAAGGGATGCCACAAGTACAATGATAGCCAGAAAAACAGATCGCATATGTTGACCTCGGTTCGTCGATCTATTTGCAGCTAACGCAAGTAATTGTGGTTCAAGAATTTCGTATAACGATTGCAATAAGGCAGATACAACTGAACAAAATTGATATTTAACATGTCAAGCTTGATCAGTAATATTGAAGGCATCGAAGATTTTCAAAAGAAATTTCACTGTCATTTATTGCATGCAAAGTAATTTTACATGAAAACTTTCAGTTTCAGGAATTTTTTAACATCAAACTTCAACTTCGATAGAACTTTGTTTCAAACTCGGTTTATTAAAGATACGGAACGAAATAACAGTCATCTCAGATTTAGGCGATCTGTAAAGGCGATGTTTCTCATGCTAGTGGAAAAACCGAAATAAGCCATAATAAAGTTTTACCAATGAAAAGAACTAGCCCAAGTAGGAAGGCTTTCTGCTCAGTTCGCATTCCGAGAACGCCTGTTTGTGCACAAAGCAGTGTAAGTATTAGTGCTCCAGTATAGCCGCCGTTGGCCAGAACATGTCTATGAACTCGTTGTCCGCCAACAATACACTCCGCAACAGTCAAAATTTGCTTACAAAAACAGCTCACAGTCAGTGCCAGTGCTAACAATGACAACGGAGTGTTTGTGCTTTCTGCCACTGATGCTAGGAATATTGCACCAATTTCACCAAAATCTCCTCCTTTTCCAGCTAAATGTATATATACTCGAACAAAAAACATTATTAACCATGCTGAGATTAATATTTCTGCGAGCCGTAAACGATACCACAAAATAGCAGCACCTGCAAATCCTTACGGCTTCATGAATTTATATAATTATGTTGTTAGCAATGAACAAACTTTTTAATGCTTCTGCTCAATTGGAAAAAAATCTCAAAAAAATATCTCACATTCAAAAAAGATGCAGGAGTTACATTTGTTTTTGTCATAAATAAGGACGAGTGAAGAGAAAGAAAACAATGTTACTCGTTCTTCAATAATGACCGAAAAACATGGACTACCCAAGGATTTATAAATATCAAAGTACTAATGACGGCAATGACTTTGAGGAAATATATATTGCATAAAGTTGAACCTCATCTTTAATCCTCTTAATTAATCAGAATTCACTATTGGAATATGATGTTTTTATTATTCTCAAAATCTTAAATTCGAAATTTTAAATCTAGGCAAAAGGTAATTACTACAGGATCAAAGAGTTATAAATATCAAAATACAGAATTAACACTCACCTCCTCCAATACCCTGCAGAATTATGAAAGCTTTAAGGTATCGCACTAAATGACGCATAGACAGTAGCAGAACTGGAGCTTTGTTTAAAACATATATGCAAATTACCAATACTGCCAGAGAACAAGCCACATTATGAGCAATGATTAAGCGATCAATAGGCACTGAACACATTCGAGCAATTATTGGTATCAAAAAAACTGCAAGCGTAACTCGTGCAATATCATTTTCCAATCTTAGAAGACAACTTTGAATTACACAGAGCACCAACTGAAAAATACCGATCTTTCAAAATTAAAAAGCATCTAATAACCAAGTTTTTTCTGAGCAATCGCACATCAACTTATGCAATAGAAAGCATTAATGAAAGGAAGTATCATCCTTTTGATTAGTAGAACATAAAAATAACATATCTGGGCCAAAATATGAAATCCGTGCCGTTCTAATTTCGTGAAATCATCTAACTTCAAATCAGGATCACCATTCTGCTCCAGTTGAACATATCGAGATGAGAGATAATGTGCCACAGAAAATAGCAGTAATGAAAGTATGTGGAAATAAACTTGGACAAGTTTGTAGAGAGGAAGAAGAAAAAACATAAATGATATAAGCACAACTGGAACCAACAAATTTTCATTAGTAAAGGAAGTGTATTTTTTGAAGATTTATGCCAATTAGTAGTTCTTAACGAACTAACTAAAAAAGAATTCTAGCAAATTGCTATATAGGATTGAAATAAATTAATAATAATAATACAAAGGTAGTAAAATAGCACTAGAATAATCAGATTAATTAAGATCTGGAATTTAATGGTCACCTGTATAGCTCAGTATCTGTGCCCCAGTTCGATCAAAATTCTTCATTTGAATAAATTCAATAATTTGATCCACTTCCAAATATGATGAAACTGACTGCTTGAATAAATCAGTACTAAAGTGCATATCTCGACTACGCCACCAAAGCTCAAATAGAAAAATGCCAGGTAGTCGTAAGACAACTTCCATGCAATGTAAAAATACTATTCGAGGATGAACGCTGAATGTTTCCACCGCTTCACCAACGTCCATTTCATTAGAAATTCATCAAACAAATATTGCCTTAATTTCTTTATTCATTTATATGCTTAGATTTGAATTTTTTGTTAGCAAAAGCATAATAAACGAATGTGACCGTAAGCAAGACGAATTCTCACTGAGAAAACTCTTTCTTACATAACAATATACTTATAGAAACATTTGAATTATGAGAAAAAGAACTGTCTTCCTGATGTATTTGCAATCAGTTATCATTAATTATCACCACAGTCATTTTTCACTTCAATGTCCCTTTTATTAACTTACTAGAAACCTTTGAGTTTCTAAAAAAAAAAGTATAAATACCTTTCAGGTCTCATCGACAATCTTGACTGCCATTTTTATGTATTCTGGAGTTTTCTCAGTAGTGTAATGAAAGTTTGAGAAAAAGAGTCTTTTTTAAATTCAAAATAACAATACTCAAAAGAGCAACCACTTTTCGAAAAACTTTGATTTAATGAAATTCAAGCACCATTCAAAAAATTGTAAAGTTTTATGGCTTCCGTGTTTTGCTCCTTCTTAACCATTTAGCTTAATTGCTTGCAAATAATACTTACTGCGCAAAACATTCAACACCAAATAATAAAAATAACGAGTTATGTGAAACACGAAAAACCACATTAATATAGTCTACAAGAACATAAGTACGTGTATGTAATAATTAATAGAAATACCACTTTTTTCAAGCAAAAACTTGAAAAAATGCTGATCACATAAATAATCCATTGTATTATCAAAACTTCGAAAGCTCGATATTGTATAAATCTCTAAATATCATTTTTCCGATCCTCTGAGGTTTGAAAGGATCTAAGACAGCCTATAAAGAAGGCATAAAAAGTAAAAGAACACTACGAGTTTTTATTTCGCTAGCGCTATAGTTACTGCTTAATGCAGAGTTAACTATTTCTTGAGTCAAGTCTCACTTTTAATTTCAGTACACTGAATTCTAAAGCAATGGAAAGTTTCTCCTCTCATCGTAGTAATGTTAGGCTATTCAATACATTTCTAATTATAAGCGAATAATAATTCACAGCAGTTAAACCGAAAAATCATTATCGAGCAAATAATTGTTAGCATTTTGAGGTTCAACGACAACTAATAACTGAGCTCCCTTTGCTAATAACGAATCTGAAAATGCAACGAAGTCATTAATTGGTGCTGGTTCGTTCAGTTTTGAATCAAAATTGAAAAATCCAGCAACACCTATTTGCCGTACAGTAAACCAGTGATGCCCTGTCCAGAACGGTATAAAGCCACGTGATGTGATATTGAATATGAAACCGAAAATTTTCGAAAAATTCAAGCAAGCAGTGGAACGCCTCGAATCAAACCAGTTCAGTAATAGATTTCGTGTTTCCAATGCCGCGATCAGTACATTGATGTCATAATTACCAAAACCGAACAATGAACGGTGTCGATTGAACCAGCGCGACCTATGTAAATTTTCCGCAATACAATCCAAATCAGTCTTTTTAAATTCATTTCTCTGCAGCAATGTATTCAGCGTATGCATTAAACAGAGTTGCATTTGTTGTTTCTCGTGATATAGCTGTCCTGTTGAGACTGTACCTCCGAAGGAATCACAAACATTCATCTATAAGAAGTTATTTTTTTGTAATATCGTAGCCATAAATTATGAATGTGTAACTAGAGTTATATGTCACACGTCAACGGGTTGTTGATCTTAGAATAAAATTTTGTAATCAGGCTTCATGCTTTAGGATGCAAGTACTGCATGTTGATGGACAATAATTTACTCGGAATATTAAAATGTTAAGATCATCATTATTTCAACAAAAGATATACAGTCAGCTATACTGCACAACAGTCTCCAATAACACTGAAAACAGAATAACATGACAGTATTAACAATTTTATTTCTGATATCATTACCAAAAAATGATACTTAGAAGTAAATTAAATTATGTTATTTTTATCAGGCTTTATGCCGCTAATCATCCTATGCACAAATTCTTTCCATTTATCCAAAAATTACAAATGCTGACTTCCAAATTAAATGACTAAACTAATTCCTTTCCTCCATGCAAGCGAGCACTTCAGTAACGTTAAATTCTAAACAAGTTTGAAAAAAAAAAAAAAAAAAAAAAAGATTACTAGGATATTCCGCCGCTTTTCATTTCCTAATGCCCAACCTTCTCCTTTTTGATAAAGTTATAAAACCAATAAGTAACACGACAAAATCACCAAGTAAAGAAAGCATCTACTATTACAGTTATGTATTAATAAGATAACGAAATTTTTTCGGTATGCATAATTATTAAATCAAAGAAAACTAAAGGAATGTTAACACCGTGATTAGAAAGAGACCTGAAATTTTAAATAAATCTTCATTTTTTTTTTACATGAACAATATATTCACTGGAACAATGTATTTGAATCAAACGACGTTGAAACTAAATTTCCCTTGTCATTATATTTATTTCTTCTCGCCTCTGAGCTGAGCCCTTTTACCTTGCCCAATTGGTGGATAAAGCATTTTTCCTCGTGCTAATTTCAATCGATTCTGAAATATGCAAAAACCTTACTTTCTCAAATCTTTGATAAGCATTACCGAATTACAATGAAGAAATCATAAAATCTGATATAAAGCAAAAATAAAAGTTTTCTTCCGTGATGAAGAAAACGAAAGCACTGCTGCTGTTTTGCAGAATTAAAATTCAATTTAGTTCAATTTCAAGACTTTACAAAGTATTATTGCAACATTTACCTGCACTTCTCTCCATACAATGTGTTCATCAAAACAAAGACCATGGAAGCGCAACATTTTTGTCAAATAGTGGAACATTGGTTGATTGGGATAATAATCAATCTAAATTTACATGATTCCCTTTTCTCCTATTTTTATTCAACTTCATCTATAAGTTGTAGAATTTTTTGAGCTCTGTTTTTTTTTAAAATAAGAATCAGTGCTGGGTATCCATTTTATCCTATTTATGCATAGTACATTGGGGGAAAAGTTGCAGCATCAATACCTGCAATAAGGCTTGGTGGCTTATACTCACTTATTCTTAAAAAGTAATCATTATCGACGAATGAGATAGGCTGAATGCAATTGAGTAACATAATGAAAAATATAAAACTAATGGTAAAGGTTCGATACTGATCTTCACTGAAATGTAAGGGACACTTTGACAAGAAGTACTAAGCAATCATCAACCAAACGAACTAACTGCTTTGAACGACTGTTGCTCCAACGGCTCTTCTGACATAACCCTTACAACTTTCAGATTTTTAGATTCGGTTGTTCGCTGTGGCTCAGTGAAAATACGTCTCGATAAATCATTCATATGTCTCCCATATTCTGTTTCACAATTGATTCCACGAGCAGCTAAATTGATACGTGACAACATCGTTTTCACCGCAACTCCTACAAAATTTGTATGAGCCATTATTTTCTTCTTAAATTTCATGCATTAATCATTAATTATTTTCTCCTTTTCTGAAAATGCATAAATGCAATGTTTTTTGAACTTACATAACAACCAATCCCGTTAAGAAATGCTACTCTCAATCATTCTACATATGTAAGGAACTCGAACTGATCATATATTTGAAATGAATATCAAACTGACAAAGCAGCATGCTGAAAGAACTTATAAAACACATAATGACAGCAAAAACAACCAATTCTGTAAAAGTGCTAATAATCCATGTGTAAAAATAACCGGTTTTTGATAAGCGCAACGTATGGTTCGTGCGTGTCGCCAATGTTTTTGTTCTCATAGCCATTGTTCCTGAAAATATGTACATATTTTCAACATGTATTTTTACGGCAGAAATTAGAACTGCCAATAAATTTGTGACCAATTTGTCTACTTGTTTCATTCCTTAATAATCCATATTTCGGTGGATGATGATATACGCCAGCAATAATGCAAACAGAAAACAGTGAATTGAAATATGTACATAATTCTTTTTTGTGCAGTACTTTTTAAAACTAAAATACTTAACAAGTACATAAGCTATATTTTCATATTTGCAACAGCTACATGTTTCGAAAGTTCTTCAGTAAAATAATTGTGTAAAACAACATTCAGTATAATAGATCATATCAAGAAGAATTTTTATCCTTGATCCATTGTAAAGTTGTCCTCGATTTTAATTTTTAAATACTTGATCGATGATACTGGAGATCCATAGGCAACTTCTCCCATTCCCTTCCTAATGAAAATCATATTTCTTACTCTTCGCACCAACAGTCAGCCAAGTTTTTTTTACACCGATCTTTCATTCCAGTCCAAGTACGATGTTTCAAGTTACATATCTTGTCAACCCAGAGAACTACCCAACTCCGAAACTCACGCAAGACCTAAGGTACACTTACCCTGTCCAGTCCGCATACATTAATGGAACACCTGACACGTGGGGACGAAATTTTCATTGCCGCTCCCATCATAGTGAGATGAAATGGTGGACGGTTCATTGCTAGCTAGAAGTTAAAGAGTAAGAAGGGAAGTGGAGTAAAGTAGTAGGTCGAACATTCTTTCTGCAATGGAATATGAAGCTGAGGTAGTTTTACTTTAACTCTTCTACACAGAATTGCTTCGCAATCGAGAATTTGTTTGCATTCATTACAGTAATGGCATTCTATTATGAAATATGAAATACAGTTTGTTTTTTTTTGCATCACTGTGACAAATTTAGCAGTTAATTATAAAATCATATTTTACATATTGTGCTTTTTGAAGGGTAGTTCTGTTGGAAATTAATATTTTCAGTATTTATTGTTAGCAAGCGAAACAAGCGACCCGTATGCAACACTGCTAATCAGCCCAAAGACGGGTGTTTCCCGTTGGTCTTATAAAGGAAATGAACTACAAGGAGCTCTAACAGGTTAGGTTCAAAAATTTTCGTCTAAAAGAGTGGGAAAATTGGGAAACTAAAGTTTAGTATTTGCATATAGGCAGTTGTTTGCAGGATCCGTTGAGATGGTTGGTAGCAGTCATTTTATTGTAGCAACCAAAGACAAACCGTTACTTCATTTCCTTTCTATGGATAATAGTAAGCCCCTCCATGTCAAGAGTGTGCTTCCTAAGTCGGTGCATCACTTAGCTGTAACACCAGATGGTAGCTTACTGTTCGCTGTAATCAGTAATGAAATATACATATGGATTGTAAGTCAAATATACATATTTTTGATTTAAATTGCATGTTCAATTCACCTTTTGTTACCCACTATTCTCAAAGTTATAGATAGCCACAGGCGAACTTATTGCTATAATTAACGGCCATTATCGATCAGTATCTAGTTTATTGCTGAATTCCGATGGTTCGCTCTTAGCGTTTGGGACGGAAGATGGCAGCTTATGTGTGTTTGTTGTTGCTGAGTAAGTTTTACTTATAAAAGAAGGTTTTTCTGCACGACAGGAAAAAATCAAAATATTTTTCATGTGTGTCCCACTTTTTGGTAGACTTTTTCACTACTACTTAAATTTTCAAAAGAAATAAAATAGAATACCAATGTTTATTTTCTTCAGGTCGTTTTTCCTTTCTACAAATTCTTCACTCTCTTAGAGCTATATGGATAGAAATAGTATGTATATTCCATGTTTTACACAGTAAATAATATGTTAAGACATCATTAACTTGAGTAAAATAAACCGCTTAGAAGTTTAATATTTCAAATTGTTGTTTTAGGCTGGTGTCTAAAAACCCAGCTTTTGAACGTACCGTCCCATTCCGTCAATGGCGACCACATTCTTTACCCGTTAGCGATATTGCGGTAACACGTCATAGTAATGCTCGTATATTATCGTGTTCCAAGGACCATACTGCCGCACTACACTCAGTTACAGCTAATATTTGTTTGTTAAAGGTAGGTTAGGGTAGGAGTTGGACTATCTGCGTTGCCTCCATATGTTTTGCATTTCCTTACCTGTAAACTCTTAAACACACATAGAAAAGCATATTATTTAAGCAAAGACATCAGTAGGTTCCCGATTTATGAATCACTTGTTTGAAGATTATTCTTTTTGTTTTTGCGTTCCCCACCATTTGATTTTATGAAATGGACCATTTAACAATATGTAATTACTGACTGGTTTGGTTTTGTTTTAGATCTCATGTGACATGGCAATATCATCCTGTGCAATTGATCCCGCTGAATGTCGACTGTTTTTGGGTACTGTCGACGGATCCTTGGTGCAATTAGATCTTTATACTTTGGTATGCTCATGAGAGGAATTGATTCATGGATTATTGGGAAAAAGAGGATGCTTTGTCATTTCAGAACAAAACAGAAGTGTCGCTTGTAATTAGAGAAGAAACTAGTGGGAATTTACAGCTGTTCAAGGGTCATTCTGCTGAATTGGCACGGTTAGATGTAAATCATGATGGCTCCTTGTTGGCATCCGGTGATGTATGTGGTGTTTACGTCATCTGGGATATTTCGAGTCGGCAGTGTTTGAAGACGTCATCTCTAAAAGGTATATTCCACGAAATCTTAACTAGAGTTCTGCAGTGTATCTTTTTCTTTAAGGACCCATTTGCAAGTTGAAGTTCAATGCACGATGGAAAGCTACAGAAACAGGTGGCAAAAACAAACCAACACTCTGTGTCTCTAGTCTCAAGCGGCAGAAAGAAAGAAAACTACCCGCTCTTGTACCGTTGCAGGATGGAATATCCAGTGAAAAGGTATCGCCACTTCCAACTTATTTCGTTAGTTGTAAAAATACTTTAGAAACTAGCATTTTACTGATGACTTCCTAGAATAAGTTAATATAATCTAGCCGTGAGACAGAAGTCTGTAAACTTTAATTTTTTTCTTTTTTACTTTATTTGTTTTTTTCCAGGACGAATTTTATGCTTTAGATCTGGACAGGATCATATCTAATTATGCTAAGGTGGAAGTAAGTATTTAAAAATAATTCTCTTTCACGTCTCTCTATACTTGGAATTGGTATCTGACTCCATTGATTAGTTTTTTTTTTTTTTTTTTGTTTCTTAATGAACTGTATATTCCCAACAGAAGCCAATTTAATATAATTAGAATGGTAGGTCAAAATTGGAAAGTAATTAGTACAAAGAAACATGGAATCAGTCTTCAGCTGTAACGATAGCCCAATAAGATAGGATTACACTAAAACAAGAGGAATTAAATTTCTAAGTAAACTCTCTTTAGGTTCATATTAATACTTCAAACGACGATGAACCGTACAGTGAATGCATCACAGAAGACTTAAAATCAGCGGAAGGCGTGGAGAATTCAGATTCAAAAACAATAGAGGGCTTGAAAACGAAAATAGCAACATTGGAAAAAATAAATCAGCAAATTTATGATTTTGCGGCATCATTAATAATTAACCGGAACTAATTCGATCATAAAAAACTTCAAAACAATACTCCTCCTAAGTCAGTGCGCAACTGGAAATAAGTCTTTGTATACGTGAGCTAATACTGTGAAAACTGGACGAATCCAAATAAATGTTCATTTTATAGTAACAAATTTGTTCCAGGTTGGTTAGAAAGAGACTGGTCTTATACTATTTAAATGGCTATGAAAGATATGCTTTTGTAAGACGTTGAGTGTTCTTCAGCTTTTTTTTCATAATTCTTTGTCTTGTATTGTTCAGAAATTCTCCTTACTTGCTTACGATTGTTTGTAAGAAAATCTTTTTAGTGCAAAAAAATTATACATAATACAGTCAATATGTATATGATTTGGCTGTAGTTATGCCAAAAAAGGAAGGGACTGTGAGACAAACCAGTGTCAATTAAAAAAAGGAGAAATGGTAAAACATATAACAGCAGATTATGTCTCCGAAAATTTTTTAAACAGAAATAGTCATATTTTAACAATGAACCGTAAGGAGAGATCCACAAGAGAAACCAAAGTAAAACATTTAAAAAAAGAAGTGAGCACAGCTCAAGACGAGAACAAATGAAATAGTTATCAGCAGTTGAAATAGGCCCATAGAAACTAAACAGCTAAAATATTTGCTCATATGAAATTTCATTTCAATAATGCGAGAAAAATGATCTGTTTCAGTGAGAGATTAATGTGAATAGCAGTTTTTTTAGCGCATTTCAGCTTTTTTTTTCAAATGCTAGATACGTTTCTATGGTATTTCTGGTGTTGTGGAGTGAAGCACGATAAAAGAACGTCATCGAGCAAGATCTATATGTATGAGGAACAACGGCTTTTGGGGGTAAGAAAGTAGGTAAGGAATAAGTTGGCCAATTCTAAAATTCACAGCATTCTGGCGAGCGAAGCAAAATTCCAAGTTGTTAAGCTCCAAAAGAAACCCCAACAAAACCGTAAAAAGGTGACAAGGAAAATAATTTTATGAAGTCCAAATGTCGTGGAGCTCAAATGAGACGGGGAACTTTGCTTGAGATAACGACCACAGTACTGTTTGCATCGGGTAATACTTCAATCACTATGGATACATATGACACCGGAATAACTTCATGTACAAAAAAACGTACGTCACTAAAGCATTGAAAGTAATCAAACTAGATGAAGATGAAGGAAAAAAACCGGAACGAATATCCGAATGGATTCTAATTGATATTTTTAAGAACTACAATAGCTTACGAATTTTTTGGAGGGCTGGTGTTAGTCGATGCTGGGCTAAATTTGCTGTTTGTGAAACGAAAAGCGTCCGAACTGACGTTGGAGAGACATGATGACGGAGGTGGATTCACCGAGTCTGGCGGTATCGTAGAAGTCTGGTGGGATATCGTGACTGGACTATCAAACAGGGAATGTTCATCATGAGATGAGTGTGTGATGAATGTATATGGCCTAAAAATGCTAGATATATGGTTATCACATAAAATACAATCATCAAGTGACGACCACCACTTTGCATTCTAAATTACTGATAATTTTGAGCGGAGTAGAAATAAAACAATTTCAATATTTCAATGAAAGAAGTGGCCAAATGCAGCAAGGCTATTGATGAATTATACCATATATATTATTTGGAGCCAGCAAACTTTATCATGAACTTCATGATGCATTATTCTTAATGTGAAAGTAAGCATAATTTGTCACATCTGAAAACACGACTGAAATCCCCCTTACGGTGTACGTTGTTATTCCTTAGTGAAGTATAATGATAGCGCGGTAATTCATTTAAACATTAAAGATAAAGTACTACAGTAACAACACTCACATGTAAGTATTGCCCGTACTGTTGAAAATGTCCTGTTCTGTTACTACATGTGGTTTCATAATGCCGCTAATATCACTGACAACAGATTGCATAACAGCGCTACCTGCTGGACTGCAGCGTGTTGTTTTCACTTGGAGCTAAAAAAGTTAACATTTAAAAACTTGGAAGCTGTTTATTCATGATTCATGCAACATAGCGTAAATTATTAACAACTCCTTAAAGGACATTACGTATTACTAATTTCATCTTTCAAAAATAGTATAAAAGTCAAGAAGTATTCATGAATTTTAACAGTGGATTTTTTTGCACTATGTTATATCAAATATTTAGTTAGTTTAAATTAAAAAAATATACCGATACTCGATTATCTCCAGTAGGTGATAATTTTGATTGGTCATCTGTACCACTTCCAAATCGCCCTCGCAAATTCATTAACTCAACATTTTTCAGACGCAAATCTGCTTCTTTTGCAAGAAGCTGTTCTGTAACATAACTTTCAACAGTTACAGCCTTCATTTTCGAGTCTCAAGTTATAATCTTTATGTTCGATATTCAGAACAACAATTATAGAAAGCGAGAAATTACACTGATTTCTGCAAACTTCGCTATTAATAACTACATTAGCACACATAACTCACACTGTGATGATGAATAAAACCTTATCAGCTTATTCTCTCATTTTCAAAGCACGAATGAATCAAGTAGCTTATGAACGAAAATTACTGAAAAATAGAAAGGAACTGACGCCGGAAATCAGCCATCTGTCCTCGTGCTTCATTTAAAGCATAAAATAATTTCTGTTTTAGTCGATTCTCTGCTGACAATGAGTTCTCGAGATGGGTGTTTTTCTCACGAATAATTTGAAGTGTAGCATGCAGTCCCTGAAATATGTTTATCAAAAGCAGTTAGTCCAGAAAATAGTTAAATTATGAAAACTTCCAATTTGACCAAATTTGATAGGTTTAATTGCTTTGGAAAAATTCACCGTATGGAAGTTGGATTTACAATAATAAAATATCTAATAAATTCGATATAATTTTGACTGTACCGGAAGAAGACCTTTAAAGAAATATTTCTCATATATTTTAATATTTTTTATTTATTAAATAAACCTGCAAATCATTGCTTTCTTTGTACTGCCGTAACTGCCGCAATTCCTCTTCATGTTCACTTACAAGTTCCTCCTTAGCCTTCAGTTCACGTCGAACGATTCTTAGTTCCTTTTCCAAATCAGCCTTCCTTGTTCTGCATGCTTCACCACATTCAATAACTCTAAAAATACAATACATAACTTTTCAAGAACGAAAAACCACAGAACTGAAAATATATTGAAAAGTAGACTGCTTATTAGCCTGATTGTAGAGAATATATAACCGCAGCACCACAAGAGAGACCATGTTAGCAATCATTTCCTTAGCAATTTGCATAAAATGATTGCAAGAAGTAGCGATGCATTTACAAGCTAACTACAGTTAGCGACATACCTGTTTGACTGCGCTGCGGCTAATGCACGCGCAGAAGCGTGCTCTTCCTTAATTTTGCTACGCTTTTCTGCATTTAATTCTTTTTCTAACTCATTTTTTTTCACTTGTATATCAATTAATTTCTTTTCTAGTAACTGCATCGTTGACTTATCCTGTTCGCGTGCCTTCATTATATTTGCAAGCCTGGAAAAAAAATTCATCCACTTTAAAACAAGAGGACGTTCCACTTTAAAAGAGAACGAATTTTTACTTTAAATTCAAAAGTTGTTTCAAATATTTCACAGAGAAACTAACTTATTTTCACTGTGCTCTTGCTTCAATTTTAACTGATGTAATTCCCCTTTCAATCGTTTTTCTCCATTTACATACTGCTGTAGCATGAAGCGTAATTCCGTTTCTTGTGTTCGTGCCACACGTAAGTCATTACGTAATGTTTCCAATTCTTCAGCACTAAAATATACATAATCATCTATGAAACTTCATAACAAATCAGATTGTATCAGATAACTGACTTATTACGACTACAGTTTTGTGGATAATGCTTACAGAATTTCATAGCAGTCTACTGAACAACATAACATGAACAACAAAAAAATTAAAAAAATACTACTGAACAACAAAAAAATTAAAAATTATACATATATGCTTCAAACTAGTTTTCTGTAAGCACAACTTCACTTCCATCTCGAAATGAATGGTCCGCATCCTTATGGTGGATCAGTTGAGATAAGACAAAAATAAACAAATTGATGTTACGATTTCTCTTAGCATATATGGGTTTATATATTAAATGTTGTACAGGAAAACTTAATTAAAAACTAAAAATTAAAATGTCACTAACTCATATTCGCTGGCCTTCCTATCAAAAGTGGTTGCACCGCATGCAGACGGATTTCCATTTTCAACATTAATACCGCTAATTGATATACTTTGATAACCTGTACTGCTAGCAGAATTGTACATTTGCCTATCCTGCTGTATACTACCAGCTGCCAGATTTAAGAAATTATTATTTAATGCGCAGTTAGCGCTCAATGTTGACGACGATAACGCAGTTGCAGGTGTCAGTGGCGACAAGATATAGCCATTGTGATTTTGTATATGACGTCCCCGTGAACGCCCACCTTTTGCTCGAGAATAGTTTCCCGAGCTCGACATGAATACTAAAATATAAATGGATTTTCGAAGCTCAGAAATTCATGAAAACCCTTGGGACCAGATATATTTCAAAATATTTGACACTTGTTATAAGAAACTGAAGTACTTTTATTTTTTTTGGAACTGGTTGAATGCCGATGAATAGATCCTAAACGATTAGAACTTGGTGAAGCGTCGTCTGGTTGAGATGATGTTTCTTCTTGGTCCATCATTTCATCCTCGCTTTCCATTTCATTTGAAGACAGTGATATACGATCGTCTAATGATGGTGACGGTGACTCAACAACACCACCCAATATGTACAACATTATGCCCCAAAGTAAATCCCATATTATGCGCCATAAATACATTCTTGGAGTGACCGACAGTGAAACTGCAAAAAATCGACTGTCACACACATTCTCACTCTTTCCAACCTTTGAAGGGAACTGTGTCAGTAGAACATCATAATTTTCTGGTAATGAATAACTCATCAAGTCATGGCATTTAGAGTCCACGGTTATTTTGCTCAGTTGAAGTTAATTAAAACAGCGAAATGTTTCAGAATTTACGAGTTACAACTGTGAAAGATTGTCCATTTAATCATTATTGAAACCCATCTATAAGGAAAATTGTCCCGGCACCATAATTTTACGAAGAATGCTTAATAAATTTATTTCCCTTTAGAAGACCTCATTTACTTTTTTTTGGAATGAGAGGATTTTACTATTAACGAACCAGAACTAGCTGTATCATCATCATCGTTATTTTCTCTTACTACTCTTTCCTTTCGTATTGATGATGACCCATTTGAGGGAGCACAAACTTTTTTGGAATTAATGGCCACATGCTTCCAACTATTTTGCTTCCAACCCGTCCCACGTGAGTTCTTCCGATGTGCTATGACAGCTGATGAAGGTGATGCACAAATAGCTAAATTTTGCAACGGACCAGGGCAAATTTCGGATTCATACTCTGAAAAGAATGGACAGATTTACTTCACTTATTTCAGTAAAAAAATAAACTTTTGTTCGCATCTAATTTAGTGAAAACATATAGAAACAATTTAAACATTTTTCACAAGAGACGATAATTAGCTCGTTTTTCACTCATTAACAGTACCAACGATCGATGAATTTCACAAAAGTAGACAGATGTGCTACACATAATACGCCTTCCTCTAAAACGTTTTTGAAATGAAATCAAAAATGTGCACTACAGTTTTGCAAAAATTGTGCAACAAAGGCAAAACTGAATGCAAAAAAAAGCAACCTATTTGTTCTTGGTCCTGCAATACGGTACCGTTACATCGCGAATATATTTTCGGGCCTTCATATAACGAAGGTAACGCCTCCATTAGAAGTTTACAATATACTTCGTTAGCAAGAGACACTTCACGCTGGCGTCTTTTCACTCGCCAAAGTCTGACAACATGTTTTCAAATGCTTTCATAATAAATTAACAATGATGGGTCAACATATAGTCTAAATACAGTTAGAAAAACGTGAAATTCGACAACAGTTATGTTACCAAAGAATTCCATACCTAAAATAAGTTTTGAGACCAAATCCAAACATAACAACTGGATATCCAATGCAGTGTGCGGCAAAGGGACGACAAACATCTGAAGTCAACGAAGAACTGTGTGCAAAAGCTGCCATTAATGTGACACCAAAACGACCCAAAAAATTACCGACAGGATTAACAAATCGTGCTGGTGGATAACATTCTTTCGAAGAATCACTTGTAACCTCGCTATTGGTTGATAAATCACGTAGTTCTAGCCATTTCGTCAATATACCACCTGAAATTTTATTAATTTAAGTAATTAGTTCGGTCAAATTTAAACTCAGTGCAATGAAGGTTAAGAAATATCAGATTTGTGTAAGCTTATTATAATAAAAGTAAAATGAAATTTCTGAAAACAATACCAGTTAGAAAATTGAGTGCCAACCCAAGCGTCGAACCTTTTAAAAGCTGCAGCGGCGAATCTCCTCGATAACGCCAATTATACTCGAACGATATTATAGCGATCCACAGAAGCAAATGAGCTGAACCAATACCTCGTTCTGCTACAATTGTTAATGAATTTTAAGAACGTCGAATTGTAGGAGATTTAAAGAAAGGAGTTTAAAATATTGAATCCAGAAAGATAGAAAATGTATTCCACGAATTTTCTATACCTGTCTGCCAAATTAGAAGGATCCACACATATGTGCTTGCAAGGAAGAATAGCAGCTGAACGGGAAGAAATATAAAACATATAAGGTCCGTTGTTACTGTCGCACATACAAAAAATGCAGAGAAAGCCTGAAGACGATAATTTTGAAAAGTTGGTATTTAACTTAAAATTTAGAACATTTTTGATACACTTCTTTGGTAATTATAAAAATAGGTAAGAAACGTACAGAATATTGCAATGAGCTAACGAAACCCTGGAATCGAAATGAGTCGTAGCAATTGCGCATAAGTAACCAAACCGGATATAATAACTCAAAACGAAATCCGATCAATAAATCAAGCGCAATACAACTCAGCCACAGCAATACAAATTTCACGTATGCGAATCCACCGAAATGTCTGTAAAGTGTCATGTTAGAAGTGGTGAAGAAGCAGCAGCACACCATCAGCGATACATATCTCGGGCCAGAGGCAACCTGGAACTACACAATTCTATGTTTCATCATACATGCAGAAAAGTATCCGGCAGTTAGCTAATACGAGCGAACCAATAGAGGATCATTCCTTGTACAAAAATACATGAAAATTTTAACAGTCAACTTATTGTATCATGAAAACGAAAAATGACCTCCGCACGTGAAATATCATTATATGAATATAACAAAGCTCACTAACCCACAACACATTGTTTCTGCGATACGACCGCGTCCCTTCAAATTTTTGCGTAATTTTGGCACATCCATCGTTCGTGTTGTTCTCTTCATCATTTCTGGAGACCAGCTATTCTCTCAGACAGTAATTAACTGAAAAATATTGAAAACTCTTCAACTTTCCACACATTTAGAAAGGAAACATTTTAATGTAACTTTTCAAACTACACGAAACATAGCACAATATGACATCAAGTAATACAGCCGACCTTTTAAATATATTATAGTTATTTCTTTGTTCCTACTTTGACTGTATAAACACAAAATAAACATTAAACCAGTGAATAACGCATCCTGCAGAGATGGGAACATAAACGTAAGTTAGGCGAGTTTACAGCTGATAATTATTCTTAAAGTTATATCGAAACAAGTTTATGGTCTTAATAGAAAAAAGTGCCGCAAAAGTCACTTTGCATAAGCAGCAAGCGAGGTTGTCCCTTTATAGTTTCAACATAACAAAAATGTTGTGAATCTACGAATGAGCATTATCAAAAGAACCCACAGTGCTATGTATATACGCAATTATCAATGATACTGAACGTAACTAACATTAATATGAGTCCTATGCCTATAATCAGGTAAAGTGTATATCAAGATGACGATTTAGCTCACTGTCAACTTAATGTAAGTAATCTCATGATATTCATGGCTATCACGGATATTAGCTGCATTGCAAAATAGGATGAATCTGTGAGAAAACAAATCATAAGAGATTATCAACAAATACTGGCATACATCAACAAAACGGAAACAAAAATGATGGAAAAAAGTGTTATCGACTTAGTCTTGCTTCATTGCAAGCTTTCAAGTGCAACTGACAGCAATCCCTCAACAAGCCTCTACCCCACTGCCATACTCTTCTTCCCCGACCCTTCTCTTCGCCTGGACTTTCAACCATCATCATCATCACCACCATTATCATTATTATTATTATCATCATCCTCATCTTTATCATCATTTCATAATGACCATTACCATCATCCAGGTAATCCTTCCTTCCTTCGCTAACTCCTGAACTCCCTGCTGTGTCCATAACTACCCTTCTTATTACTTCAAGGCCGATTCCCTCACTGTCTTCCTTTTCCAGATGCAGATGAATCAGTAGTAGCAGTTAGTAAGCTTGCTATTTTCCCCTCTCGTTTCATAGTTCAATTCTTTGCAAGTCTTATAAGGCCACGATCCAGTCTCTATCACAATCATCAGTCAAATTTCAGTCCATTCCATTCCACGCTTCATAGCCTCTCTTTCGTCCTTCGTGATACATTCATCCCTTTGAGAGCGATTATCCTTCCTTTAGCTCGTCTTTATCACATCCACGATTTTATAATTCTTTATCTTTTTAATGCATTTCACCAAATACAACCTCTCCTACCTCCGGAATTGAAAATTCTTCTCTTCCTACTATCGAAATCGGTCTGAAGCAAAACCAGTACATTTTAACGCTTGATGACACGCCATTCCACTCATGTGTGTTTTTCGGTGTGTCACCGAGAAAGGAACTAGAATAACCGTAATGGAAATCCATATTTTTGATCCTTTTGTCTACTGCAAAACAGAATTCAGCCTAAAGTTCTTAAATGAATACCAAGTTAACGTCATATTCCCTCACTCAACCATACCTTATTATAATGTGACATATGAAGGAAGGAACATTTCATCAACTTAAAAATACAGTGAAGGTGCTATACTCAAAACACTGCTTTGTGCTGAGAGCTCAGTCGATTTGGAGCAGACATCAAAACATTCTACTTTCTAAATGCTATTTATAAATCGACGGAATAAATTCATCAGCTGACATATAACCTACATGTAGTTTGTTAATAGCAGAATGAATGACATAATGGAAAACGAAGATTCAAATCAAAATAAAATTCAAGAAAGTTTATACGAACATAGCTGAACCTAGCTCTGAGATACAGATAGAGCAGTGATGAAATCAAAGGATGGTGAAAACATTTATAATGGCTTTTTTGTTGTCCTTTATTTTCTTCCGGAATTCATTTAGTACGTGCCCTGTTTCATTCCCTCCACTAATAATTTTAGTGGTCAACTTTTAAAAAAATCCCCTGTTTGCAAACTTCTCGTTGATGAACCATTTAAAATATAAAATTAAAATACACATCTGATGTACATAACTAAAACTTCAGATAAAATTTCCAAATGTAGTGATTTGTTGATACTGTTGGCTTCCTATAGTATAAGGTCTTTAGTAAACATATTTTAACAACCTCATCAGAAGTAATTTCTAGCACAATATCACCATACACAAAACTGATTAGAAGATATCACTCTCCAATATACAATGTAAGTTTTTCCAGAAATATAATTTTACTAATAAGGCGAATACCCAGGAAATTACAAAAACAATTGATGAGGAATTACATAGAACATTATTTAATCACTGCTCCAATCCCTAGCTATACCTGATATTAGCAGTCCTACATTCAGTAAAAAATTAACTTTGCTTCTGATTCTAAAAAGCTGCATAACATGTAAAAAGCGATCGTCGGTTATAGATTACACATCAACACAAACAACAGGAAACATGGAGAAAGGTGGATCTGATAAATGCATTTTCCAGCAACCATTTGTAGCATCGATAATTTTATCACTCTCTCATCTACATGTAAATATCTTCCAATCTATGGCTATTCTAAAAAACATTAGTAACAACGATATTTTTTCTTCATTTAACTTTTTCTCCATTTAATCATATTTCATTTTCTCATTACTTCATTCTGTGTTTGGCTCTTTAAAGTGTTTTTTCAAGTCCACCTTATTACGAGAGCAGTGGATACTGATGATATTCTCGCAGGACTAAATTCATGAATTAGAGGTGCATCGCTTTTAATAGTCCTTATTCATAATTTTATGATTAGATTACGTATTTTTTCGCCTGCAGGAAAATTTTCATATGAATTTCCTAAACTCTAATTAAAACATTACTATTACAGTGTAAAATTTAGATAGCATTAAGTGAAAGATTCCTTGCTAACAGTGTTCAGATAGATTCATTCATATCACTATTATAACATCGAGTATTTCACTTTTTTTCCAGTTATACCACAAGTGTACAATTTTGTTATATAACAAGATGAATTACGCCATTTAGTGTAAAGGGCAAGAATCCAACTGTTGCAATCTGACAAAAACGAAAGAGAAGTAAATCTAAAACATTCGGAAAACTAAACAGATGCACTAGAGTGGTAGTACCGAAATATTATCCGGTTATATACAATGGTATGCCGGTCATTCTGTTTGGTATATGTGAAACATTGGTAATACACAAAAAGTTTTTCAAAATTTCTCCGAACTAGGTTTACGATGGAGTGGGGTGTCGAAAGTATACAGGTACAGTATGATATATGTTCACATACCTCAAATAAATCGTGTGAGCGTATCCAGTTTGCAGGCGCAAATGCAGGACTCACTAGTAATAGTTAACGTCACGGATATTGCAAAAAATTGATACACACGGCACCAGTTCTTATATCTCCATATTCTACTGGGAACTGACCTATGCAACTTCATGACATGATCTCAACAAAAAATATAAAAAGATCTATAATGATTACTGATTTTTAATCTTTTCTGTTGCATATCCAATGACATTTAGAGGACGCTACTACTTATTAAGTTATCCTTGATAATGTCACGTCAAATTTATAACCTCACTGAAGTTCAGCATGGTGAGTGCTGGAGCTTACAATAAAGAAATGAGTGGATAGCGAGTGAATTATAGGTTGTTCACGCTGCTACCATTACCATGAATACCAAAAATCTAGGTACATCAATAGGAAAAACTGAAGCATTACCCAAGAGCAGCTAGGTATCTTCTTCAAACAACAATACGTTTACCACTCTTTATCGCTTAATAAGCCTCCACCAGTTAGTCATTTTCAATACTTATGATAGTCTGAGTAATGACAACAAAAATGTGTCATACAACAGAAAAGCAACTGAGTAACTTGTAGAGGACTTCTTATGTTTCATATCGTGATTAACACAAACCATTATAAGCCGCGATATTTTCATGCCTCCGATATTTTCATACCTACGTTTCTTTAATTTTAAAAATTAGAGATTTGAGAAATTTGCTTCGCTCTGTGCGTGAGGTTCTGGGATTGATAAAGTCATCCTTTGGCACTAAACCCAGAAAGCGGACCATCAAACCCAGCAAACGGACCACCAAACGCAACAAGCGGACCACCAAACCCAACAAGCGGACCACCAAACCCAACAAGCGGACCACCAAACCCAACAAGCGGACCACCAAACCCAGCAAGCGGGCTACCACTCATAGTAATAACTAAACCACTGACCATTAATTATAGACTGATCTGGTTTATAATAATAAAGTTTGCATCCATTTCTTTTGTTAGTTCGGTGACGTAGATGGGAGGTCAGAGGTGTATTGGTAGAAATATAATGGGGGGTAAGATAGTACGGTAATTATGAACAGACTGGTGAGAGTGTTTCCTCATGTGATTATGCTATAGTTGAATATTATGTAATGTTATTCCTAAATAAAATTAAAATATTCAGGATGAACAGAATTTTGAGATCTAAATGGCAATATGTAGGATGAATAGAATTTTGAAGATTTAAAATGGTGGAATTTTGAGATCTAATGGAACGTCACATCTGACAACAAGTATTGCTAGTCGTAGTGCAAAAGAGCAAAAGAGTAAGGAATAGGATCCCGTGATTGACAATATACATCAGTTGACATGAGGCATTCCTCATCTTTGATATATGCCGTGAGGAGTCACAATTCGAGATATTCTAGAATGCACTGTGATAATTTTCAAGTTACAGTGCTCATAGAATTTCTTTCAAACTGATATATATGAAGATTGAGAGAACGAAAGGTTGAAGTTCATTGGCCCATTGATGTGGCATGTTTCCATGACGATTGCTTTTTTCTCTTATTATAGAGACGCTTATTATAGCAATATTTACTCTCAGCATTTAATTCATATGGTTGTGGGTTGTGGTTATTTTAATATCTAAAATATGTAGAGCATAGTACAAATATAATCACATATTTGTTTGTGTACCCGTTCATTGTTTCTCAAACACTTCTCACTGCTATCTGAAATTGTTTGGATTTTGAAATAATAAAGAAGGAAGATCAGGAATATTGTGATACGGTGTATCTTAAAAAGCAGTGTTAGTGTGCATCCGATTCATCTGTCAGTTTACTTTCCAAGATGAAATGCCTGATTATAATGCCTCTGTCATTTTAGTTTTAATTATGTATCCAATTTGAGGTTATCCTTGTTTTATATGTTTAACATTAATTTGTTTTATATGTTTAACATTAATGTATCCAATTTGAGGTTATCCTTGTTTATATGTTTAACATCAATATATGCTTAACATTAATTTAAAAAAAAAAAAAATTGTATATCATTTCATTATTTCATTTGAACATTCAAACATGTTTCTTGTTTTCCTCTATCGATAAGTTATTGTAGAGCAAAATGAAATAAATAAGATCAGAACTATTGACCCTCAAATTCATAAGAAATTTTGATGCATATTTTTCATAAACTACAGTAATGTGACAAAGAATAAAAAACCATCAATGAACATTACATCAACTGTGATAGCAAACAAGACGCTGATTTTCCGAATAAACTGAGAAACAAAAATTCAAATTTTGAATTGAAGTCTCAAATATTTTAGTAAAGGAATAATGCTACATTAGGTTCCAGTCTTTCCAGAATTTTGGAAAATATAATTTCAAATTCTTCTCAAAGTCTCCATTGAAGTATAAAAAAGAATACTTTATGAACTGGAGAATTGCTGAGGTGGGAAGTGATTAGTATTCTCTACCAAATCTTTAAAATAGAAAACATTAATATTAGGCTGTTAATAAAGAGTCAGAACGGCCCTATACTAGACATTAAAACTATTTCATTGTTTGCACAGTTGTAACCATTATTAATATCTACCCTTTTAGATTGATTTAGAAGCGAAGTATTTAAGCGATTTCAATGGAATGGAAAAAGATGGTGTGAAATACTTAATTAACAATGTGAGTAGTTTATTATAGACTGAATGAAGTGTAAAAGCAAATATCATAAAATTAAGATGTGGTAAATATTTTGTTGAGATACAATTTATGCCTTCATTCACCGAATAAGCTTCTAGAAATAATATCATTTAATAACATGATGCTAGCATAGATACGCACACATGCTATCTACGTCACAAGTAAGGATATAGTTAAAAGAAAAAAATTGGCAAATAAAGTATACCAATAACTACATTCATACAACATTATCCATCCTATGAATTTCAGCAAGTTATGTGATCGTGGCTACTTCTCAAAAAAAAAAAAAAAAAAAATTTCAAAACATAAAACCTGAGGTGAACAGATGTTTTCGGTAGTTAAACCTCTTCATTTCTGTTCAAAAAACATGTTCAAAAACACAGCAATAATTTTACCTTATGACTTTTGTAAAAATGAATAGAAGGACTATCAGAATTACCGTGTAGAATCGAACTTGTTCCAGATATTTTACCATGCACTCATATAAAATTCATGAATTTGCTTCTTGGATGATGGAATCGGTTTATTCACTAGAAGTTATCCTCGGCAAAAAAATCAAGGGAATAAACGATCATTTAAACTAGGGCCTTCTAGTACTTTTTGCTTGCCATTATTAAGCACTCACAAAAGGATATTAACTTCAGAAATTCTCCTTAGCTTTTATGTGATGAATATTCCATTTTCTTTTGACAAAAAAAAAGAATCAAAGATAGAAGGAAAACGTACATTTCTGTTTAGATTTTATTGATATCTGTGAACAAAATTTTGGATAAATGAAAGTTTGATAGGTCATTTCAGATGAAGGTGACTGAAAAAGCAAGTAGTATGTTGCTTCAGTGCTGAGCTAATAAAATCAGATGCTTTTAATTTTATTAATTGGGTATTAATTTTCGCTGCTATAAATATAAATCAGTAATAAATTCTTTGTCTTACGGAGACCTTTACTTGGCCAGAATGATTAAACTGAAATAGTTTTGTAATGCAAACAAAAGATCTTATATTCAATACGAAAAAAAAAAAAAACTCGCATTTATCACTAATAATTAATACATTAAGAGAATATTAGCTGATAATTTTCTTTAACATTGCATTTGAAACATAAGTGTGAGAAAAAAATAATGGAGAAAAATTCAAAAACAATTCTTGAAAAACTCTGTAACAAAATGACGAATCATAATTGCCTTCACTGTTTTATCGAATTTATCGAATAAAAAATAATAAGTAAATGGCAAAAACAAATAAAACAAGAATGAATGTGAGATTTCAACACAAACCGAATTTCAATAATGTGAAAATCAGGAATAACTTGTCCCATACAAATCCATTACATCTGACAGGTTACTCACAACTTTATCCTGATGAAGTTCAAGATGAATTTCCGCATTTTTGAACCATTTACAACAGATTATGACATCATTAAACAATATATCATTATTAAATTCAAGTAATTGAACCAGTAATATTTGTGGATCATTTATAAACATGCTTATATGGCAAAAAAATCAACGATTTGAGGAAAAGAAAATTGAGTAAATTAACTTGGGTATACATGAGATGAAGCAATAATTCATCATATGCATTTAAAATAGTATAAGTGTATGCTTATTATTATACTGAACAATACAAATAATAGTTTAGATCAGTAACTAGGAAGGTCAATACTTACTCTTCGTCACTACTTTTACTCTATGATTATCACATACTGACAATAATGAATGACTGTGTTCCCACATTATAGAAAGTAAAAATACTCTGTTAAAAGTAAAATGTCACTAATCACGGCAAGCTGACTTTATTTGCTTGGTTCCAAAATGTTGTCTTGATTCCAATTTAATTCCTTTCAAAGACTGCGGTCGAATAACGAAAGCAATTTTAATCCACTGAAACTACTTCCTTAACTTACTTTCTTTATGTTTTACCTAAAAAATAGAGGAAGAAAATTAAGAAAAATGCTTCAAATGACTATTCTTCATTATTCTACTTCTACGGGCATACTTCGCTATCAAACTAGTAAATCTATCTTGGACAGTGAATGATACTTTGTCATTATTTTTTATTGCATAGTTTAGATAGATATAATATCGCGGATGCAAGTATCATCATCACAGTTCATTTCGATATGAATATATGAAAAGTTAGAATGAAAAATAATAGAATGCAACATTAATTGTTCATTGTTTACAAGTGAAGGCACTTTTTAAAAGTGTTTCTGCATAAATTACAAAGAAGTTTGTACAAGTGGCAATATAGAAGTATCACGATCACATTGTGCCAGAGGCGCCTTTCGAATCAATTTATTAGCACTCCCTGAAGAATTAATTCCCAATAATGCTTCTTCCTTTTGGAGCAGTAGTGATTTCAATTTCTGAATTTGCGATAGTTCACTGAATTCATTTTGCATTGATATCACTTCCAAAGTTGAATGCGCCATTGGTTTTGCTGCCTTAAACACTTCCACTTCCTTTAACTGATTGCTGAAAGTTTCATGATGATTCTTAATCTGATACCAGCTAATAAACATAAGAGTGCAAGTCACAAAGAATAATACTACAGCAAATAATACAACAGCGAACAGCATCAGCTGCCATATGGACCAACTTTGCAGTACTGCTTCTTTCCATCCTCCATTTTCTCCCCGAAATTCCGTGAAAATGCCAACAGCAGTATTAGGTGAAAGCATTTGATCATCCTTTTCATTTGTATTCAACCGTCTCATGGAACTAATTCGTAAATCAAAACGTTTTGTACTAACGAGGAAACCTGTGGTGGCTCTGCACCAGTAGGTAGCCTCATCTTCGGGCAGCGTTTGTCGAATATGCATCAAATGATACGTTTCATTGCTGGATGCGGCATCTTCCACAGCAATTCGATCATCGTCGGAATAGAGAAGCCGAAGGGCAAATCCATTTTTATACCACTGTACCACAGGCTTAGGGTTACCCCAAACGATGCACAGGAATGATATAGCTTCACCTTCCTTTGCCTGTAGTTTCTCCTGAAGCGGTCCTTCGATTACTGGTCCACATGCGAAATCCTAAAATTATTTATTAAGCCCTGATCAGATTTTCATGAAATCTAAAATCTATTTTAACTTGGAAAATTTGCACAACACTTCTGGATAATTCTTCTCTTAAATACAAAAAATCAGCGTATCAACACATTAGGAATTTCAAATAATTTGTGTTCCAAACATTTTCCAGTCGCATTAGTCGTTACTTTTCTTACATGCTATTTTTCTGTCGTATTAACATGTATTAAATTGCTGCGGTAAGATTACAGTCTTAAAGAAGCAGTAACAATAAACTGTCCAAGTATTATATGTCCAATATCCATTAGCGCCATCGCAGAAAGGTGTTATATTAAATTACGTCAATGCTTTTTATATGGCGCACTGAGAAACCCGCCATTTCTTAACATTTGTATGGAAAATTTATATTATCGCTTTGATCTTAACTGTTCTTATCGCCATTCAAAAAGGCGAATATAAGTTTTAAAATTTATTCAAACAACTTGAAACAGAAAGAAGTGAGACTTTCCTAATAAATAAAGCATATGAAGGAAGTTGTCCATTAATATATACTCCTATTTATGAATGGTTAGGTTTTCTTTAATTTCACTTGAGATAGAGAAAGTGGTGATGAGATTGTTACTAAAATCAACAGCTTTGTTTAAAATGAATTTGTAAATTATAGCCCAGTTAATACACTTGTTCCATATTTAGGTCTTATTAAGTCGAATTTTGTTTTTTTTTATTTTGAATTTGTTGCTGTTTCAGTAGCAGAATTTTTTTGAAATTTTTCGTCTTACGAAATTATTCCTAAAATTTGTAAAAAAGAATAAGGAATATTTGGAATATTAATGCACTTTATAGTCAAACTCATTTCATAATTGGGCTCATTGAGGAGCTGCAAAATAAAAACAAAAATGGATGAATATTTAGTGATTTAGAAATAATTTGTAAAACTGAAGTTTCATTTCATTTAGTGATATAAAAATCGAAATCAAATAATAGAATTTATTGTTCATTAATATGTTCACAGATAAATACTGCTTTCATGTTTGTACTTGACATGCAGAAAACAATGAAGATATGATATATAACAGTAAACCTGTATGGAGTAAACAAATTTCGGTTATGAATGTTACATAACCACACAATCAAGTACATAAGTATTTATCACATCAAAAAATATTCGATGCTTCATATTCTATTTCTCTTTTATGATAACAGTAGTGTAAATTTTTCAAAAATATTACTGGCCTTAATTTCTACATCGGTCGATTTCTCTGATCAGAATAGTTTTCGATGAAAGACAGATAACTTGTAAACGGCTATCAATTCTCAGAGTAATTAGAAGTAATGTTCCAGAAGACAGGTTAGAGACAATCAGGTAAAATATTCCTTTCTGAGAACGCATAAATGACTATTTTATGACTTTTCAGAATTCTTCACTTATGTACATATCAAATAAATGTGTTATAAGCAAGCAAAAACCAACATTATTCAATTATTGGTATGACTAATCACCTCTCTTAACTATGCAAATAAGTTATAAAATCTGGTCTCTTAAAACTTCAAGGTTGAAAATTTGTTTCAAAATGCTAAAAAAAATTTTTAGATTCTAAGTGAGATATTGTGTAGTGAGAAAGAGTCTGTATTTTTTGAATGATGATTGAGGAGCTCTCCGGATTGATCAATGTTAAATATTCTTTGAAGTGTTCACTGGCTCGGAGACTGTTCGAAGAAAATTTACGAACAGACAGAACCAATTTCGTTTTGGGTGAAAAACTTTGCTTACCTCTAAACTAAGATCGTCCCAGCTGATACCATGAATTTGTGCTGGTTCATAACACTGTGATGATTTGGCGTTTAGGGTTTTTCGTTGAAAAGATATAAAATCTCGCAGATGACAATCGCATCGCCATGGACATCCATCTAATTCAATGACCCGTATCATATTGCCGAAATTCGTGGGTTTCACGGCATGCAGCTGATTATGAGACAGATCGACCACTTCTAGCTTGGGTAATAATAAATCATATCCATGGAGGTAGCGAATTTTATTGTGTGAAATATCAAGATGTCTCAGTTGTTGTAGGGAATACAGTAATGGAATAGTCATAAAGTCATTGTAGGAGATAATCAAATTTTGGATGAAAAAGGAAGAATCACTTTTGAACTCAAGAGTTCTAAGCAAATTATGTGACAAATCAAGTTTCCGTAAATTTGTTGCAAAAATGAAGGCTTCTGGCGAAATATCCGATAAATTACAAAAATTCATCATCACCGTCACAATTTCAATATTATTTAGCGAAGATAATTGCTTTATCATAGAATTTAAAATTCTGAGAACCATCGTTCCAGGAGGAACTCGTAAAATATTTTGGAACTTGACGTTTATGCATTCATACACACGTCGATTATTTTGTGTAAACTGTCTACAGTTGCTTCCATTATTAGGACCATTATTAATAATATCACTCCTTATTAAAATTGTCATGACACAGGACAGTGATAGAATAATGGAGCAATAATAAAACAGAACTGAACGATTAAATTTCCAAAATAAAAACATCAGCAAAGGAACAGGAAAAAGCAAAGCTGTAGTTTTGCACAGAAGTAATCACTTCCAGAAATTTAAATTAAAAGAAGGCATAGCAGAAAATTCTGAAATTCAGAATAACCAGTAAATAACTCGTATTTCTGATTTAGAATTTGTATCTTGAAGGGCAACAAATTTCAATTCTCTGACGTATCCTTGGAAATCTACAAATATTTAAACTTAAAATGAAATCCAAAGTAGTGATAATTCAGGCGGAGACAATTATCGATTGATGGCAGACGTTGTCACCACTATTATTATTACTTTAGCTGTTTAATTAGTGCAGAATTTTATGGACTTGGAGAGTAATGGCTTGCTGAAGACCCAGTCTATGCCAACCCAATGAAAAACAAATTCGTCCACTTCACCACTTGTTATAACAACTTTCCATTCATCGCTGCTTTGAGAGATAAATGTATGAATAATTGTCCGCATTACTCGCTTATTCAGTTAATCAATGGTTACGAGTTACCAGTTACTACTATACACTTCATTTCATAAATTTATTTTATTCAACTCAGATTCATTGCATGCTGATGTCAATTTACTAAAATATATCTGGACGACTCACTCTTCGCATACAGAAATTGAAATGTTGGAATTTGTATTTAAATGGAAATTACATATATCAAAAACACCAATCAAATGCAAATAATTCATGAAATTTCAGCTATTTTTATGCATTAACAGTTTATAAGAGTAGCTAATATCAAAATAAAAATTAAATACACCAATGGTCACTTTCAAACTCCTGTGACATGTTAAGGAATAGAAGAGAATTTGTCTTGGAAGGTTTTGATTTGTTTAATTAATAATATTGGGAGAGGTGTTTGATCGCAGGGAGATTGGTTGAATGTAAATGTAAATGCGTGAAGTAACAAAAATATAATCCAAGTTCTTTATTAGCAAAGTAATAGGACAAAACGTTGATAGAGAACAATTGAAATTGGAATCGTCGGTCTTTGGCGATAAATTACACATATATTAAATCTTTTAACAAAGGTGATCCTTATATAGCAATTATCTTACATTATATGTATTAAAATGTGGGAGTGGTTTATAATTAGACATTTTTGTACAAAGGATGATAGTAAGTAACTTTAACAATAGGTTTAAAAATGGATATCACAATGAATTGAATGGATATCACGAAAGAGAGTACAATGGTTTGTCCAGACATTATGATGAATGGCTACTATGAGTTGCAATAGACAATACATGATAGATGCTTATAGTATATGAATTGATATAAGATCAAAAGTTAATTGAATTGTAAAGACATCAATGGATTGCTATATTAAGCATTGTTAACATTTGTTTAGTGCTTCGCGATGTTAAAATCCGCGACAAGATTAGAAAAAAAAATAATAACTCGTTGCGCATAATTTTCCTCAAATATCTCGTTTGAACTTAATTAAGATTCAGAAAAATCCTAATAAAAGCAGCGGAAGTTACATTTCGAAATCTCTAAATTTAATTTTGAATATGCTAGCCAACGATAACCATTTAAATTAATAGGCTTATAATATTAAGGTTCGTAGCAAGAAAGAAGAATAAGCTCAAAATCCAATGGAAAAGGGTAAAAGAGAATATAAATGAACTAAACTAAATTGTATTAAATTACATTAGAGATATAACATTCAGTAGATAATTTTCGAATGAAAATTGTTTCGAACATTAGAAGTCGAAATGCGCAAATGAGTTGTAAATATAGTGAGAAGCCACTCGAGGATGAGAGAGAAAAAAAACTTTCCGTTGATTGGACACCAATGAGCAATAGTAATAATGATAACCAGTGAGTATAGTGCTATGACAATTATAGAGAAGAAGAAATAATACTATTTTCAGTTCGCCACCTCAATAATGGAACCAAGCAATCAGAAAAAAATTCAAAGAGAGTTGTTAGCAAAGAACAACTTCCTAGTATTGTGCAGCGATTTTTGCCTCCAGAAGAAAGCTTTTGGGATGGAAGCGAATAAGACCGATACACGGAGATATACCGAAGCCAAGCCAGTTAGTAACTAGTTAAATGAATATTATCATGTGCAAATAGACAGAGTTATCCATTTCTGTCTCTCTTCTCTTTCCGTTTTATAACAAGCAAAGAGGCAAGAAGGAGCACTTCATCAGTGTGAATGCATGTTTACGCACTATGTGAACCGGAAGGCATGCACACGTAAATGTATATATACGAAAGTAGCTTTTTTGCAACCCCATATCTTTCTTCAATGTTGTAAAAGAAAGCCTGACTAGAGGCTGCTTAACGTTAAGTGTAATGGGTTGCATCCGAACTACACTTAAAAAAATAATTTATTAATTTACTTGTTAATACTAAACTTTTTATTTAAAGAATCAGTTTAGGAAAATAGTAAACTGCTAATATCTCCCAGATAAAGAAATAGAAAGCAAATAAGTTTTAAACATATTTTCTAAAATATTCTGCACTTTTAATCATCTTTAGCTTTCCACATCTATTTTTTTTTAATAATGAATAACAATATATTCCCCTACTTTTTCGCCAAATTTAGTGTTTTCACTTTTACTGTTCACTGAAGTCTCTCGAAATACTTTTTCACTTTTGAACCACTTTTGTTTTTGAACTATTTCCAGAAAGCCCGACTTAAATTACATGGCTATGAAAATAAAAAGTTAAGTGAAATTTCAAAAATAGGTTACTCTATATATTGTATGAGATATGAATAGCAGGTAGAATTTAATGTGATTGGAGAATTAGCACTTGAACCTTCTTAGAAGAAAAGGGACTGTTAAGCTATCTTAGTTGCCAGACTGTTTGAGGATTCTCAAATTAAACTCGTTAACGAATGAGTGATCATTGTTCGGAAAATTAACATCATGTGCCACACTATTCGCGTCCGCTCTTGAGAGATACAAATGGAATGTTTCCACTAGCAAAACAAATCATATAGCAGCAAGATCAAAAGTAACTGCAGCAGAAGATTTTGTCATCAAAGTCGGTCACAACCTTTCCGGGAAGTGTCCAACACATGAGAATAAACGGAAATCAATACTCAACAAGTTAATCATTAACGCTTTATACGTAGTAGCATCAAAGGATATGAAAATCTTCAACGGTTCCTTTTTTTATAAAGGAAGCTGCAAGGAAAATGAGTCGAGAATGAATCATTTAAAGTTACATTAACATAGCCTTCGCTTCACTTTACAGCATACCACAGCACTGGAATGAAAGTTAACAAAGGCACTAATTTGAGGAAAAGGGTCTAAAAGAATATCGTTTAAATGTATTGTTCGAAGACTTTCTAAAATTTAGTTTTCCTGTAATTGTAAGAAGCATCTGATGGACTGCAATATGATCAGCTCATTTATTAAATAAGTAAAATATGACGTTATGCAGTACCAGGTATGAGACAGACATGTATTATGTATAAACCAAGACACATATCCAGGAAGCAACGTAATCAGTGGGCTACGAAAAAAGGTCTCTCTACGGGAATTATTCATGAAGTATAAAAAATAGCCCGAACTACAAAAGCAGCCCAGTGTGGGCAATTCCTGACTAACACCATTGGGCATGAAGTCTTTTCTAATAACATCTAAAATGTAACGAACGATGATCTCTGCGATTAAACATTCATAGGCTTCTGCAACTGTTTCAAACATTATAACAGTTCATAAGAAATATTAACAATGGAAAATAGTATATCAAATATAAGCAGTCTTTGGCTAGACATCGAACCGTGCAGAAATTAATAAATCCGTAAATCAAAACAACTTAGAAAAATCAATAACCACACAACGCACTCACGTCCCTCACAGTCTATGCTGACAAATTTGCATATCTTTTCAATAATTAGGGAATGACATACAAGAATAAAAAACAGTACAAGCTATGAAGAATTTTTCATTTAGAGGCATTTCAATATACTTATATCAGGATAATTCACTCTCCTCCTGTATCGTGGCTCCGAAACTTCTCTTAATTTAAAAAACTACACAGATTCGTACTACAGGCACAAAGAATTGGAAGAGAACTGTCAAAGAATGGAAGACAGATTGAAAAGGAAGCAGGCATTATAGCTTGTTCATTTGCTTTGGAAATTCACAAGTATCGAAGAACAGGTCTATGCAAACCCTAGGATTACAGACATCGGAATAAATTGAGAATATTTAAATCGCAACAAGTATTTATTCATAGTATGCTAAAGTAATAATTAAATAATTATTAGCAATATAAAAATCTTTCATTCTACAGATTATCCTTAGCTTAAACAGGGCTCCTATACTGATAAGAAGACCAAATTCCACTTTATCTTTCAGAGGAGATTAAATTAAAAGTCACAAAAGCAAACCGACTTGCTTCACATTCGTTAATCAAAACATTTTTAACGCGTTTGTAAATCATTAACACAATTTTTCATCAACAATACAATTTTAATCCAGTCCAGTAAATTTTGAGAATTTATTAAGTTCGCAGTAAATATAACAAACTGTTCAACATTAAAGAAACCCGTTCAAAAACTACTGTCGATGTTTTTTTGTGACAGATTCCGTGGTACCTGCAAATTTGCAATTCAAGAATTGAACTAACTTTTAAAAACAAATGAAAACCAGTAAATTCTACATCATCCTCAAATTTCTTATCTTTTATTTTTTATGTGTTTGCAATCAATTCAGTTATAACTCGTTGATATTTGTTTGAAAAACGTGAGAATTACGGAATTATTCAAAGCAAAACCCACTTCAACACATTTCTGTTCATAAAATAACGATGCTATAAAATTCGATGAAGCCACTTGCTTCCCGAAATTTGTTGCTGCTCGATCCCTTTCCCACGGTGCTCTAAAAACAGGCTTTCAGTTGCTCATTCCCTAATACATGATATATGGTTTTCGGATTTATGAATAAGAGGTATGCACTTTATCCAAAATCTAGTAGCTTAATACTCAATCAAACTGAATGAAATAGTTTATTAACTAGATAATGAAGTCCACTTCAAGAAGCTCTGAGAGTATTCATCATCAAAAAGTTCTGACATTTCATAAACTTTGGTTTCACAAACTTCTTATATGGTTAGTACAAACATATTGACGAAATAAATTTATTACATCATTTATTCCTCTTTATTTTACCTATAAGTTTGATTAAAATTTAAAGAGAAATCTATTTAAATTTCTGACAAAATCTGTATACACACGCAGCTGAAATATTTGTACTAACCATAATATGAAGTTTATAAAATCACAAATTTCAAACTGAAATAAAAAATTTGGATCTTCGGCTCACAACGGCATACCATAGGAAGTAAACAGAATTACAATACAATATTGCAACATTTTATTTTCCACCTCTAAGTTAAGCATTTGCTCGGTTGAAATTACCCTACAGTTAAATTTTGATTCTACGACGGCAATGAACTAGGAAAAGACGACAAAAAATTTAGGTGAAATTATCAAAAAACTCACATAGCATTATGATTCTTGGTTGCTCCGCACGTGAAATGTTTTGTTGTACTGATATGCAGCACTAACTCATCAAGCGTATTAAATCGTTGAGCACATCTTAGACATGTGAAAATATTACTGGTGATGCTGTTAGGAACACATTTATTAGGCATCGGTAATTTTGTCGCACCAATTCGATGTACCATTTGCGACAATTCACCTAGAGCATCTGCTGCTGATGTCTTCGTTGAATCTGAAATTATCACATCAGTTTTCAGAATTTATGCAGCATCTACTACAGAATACAGCTTGCTTGTTTAAACCACTTACTGCATGTCGTTCTCAAAACAGTTTTAGAATGCACTTATTCATCTGATTTAAAAATTGTCAGCAAATTATTAGTCATATCGCGTTGTTAAAAACATCTGTCAACCATATCTAAGAAAAGAAACGCAGTGAATCAAAAAAAAAACTTTGATGACGCAATTTCAACCAGTCTTTAAATATATTTTTAAATGTAAATTTGAAATACGGAATAAGTATGCTGAAATATTACAATAAATAATGTTCAAATTTATTCAGTAAGATGATTTCTATTCTGGGAATGGTTTTGGATTCATCTCCTCCATAGTGTCAGAACACAAAATTCAGAGTTATAATACAATATTAAAAAGTAAATTTACCGTATTCAAAAGGCAATTTCATAGAATTGCTGCGTGAATGTGTCAAGGCATATCCTGTTGACATGGAGAGTCTACTGCTTCTGTAAATCTCAAAAGTTGAACTGTTTGTAGCTTCACTGTTTTCACGTACACACCGTTCCAAACGTTTCAGCGGAGATTCCGAATCCACTGATGAAGTGTATCCGTCGACTCCGGAAACACTTGCAGAGGGACTGTCAACAGAATTTCTACTCCCGGTGAACACAGAAAGGAAGGACTTATGGTAATCACTGACATCTGAAGTGACGGGAACTGAAGAGCTTGCAGAAATGCCGGAGCTGAGTCCACTGAGGAATTCACAATGAGCAAACTGCGATTTGGAAAATCGCGTGCACTCCCCGACATGACAGTATCTCTGAAAGTCATCCATTTCATACTTTGGGACTTTCAAAGGAGGTGCATCACCGTGAACTACTGCACCCTGCATGGTAGAAACATAAAAAGGATTTCCGGGTAAGTAGTCCGGTTCTTCCATTGTTGAGGTTGCTCTGCTATGAGGAGGAGAGGATGACGGAGAGTGCCATACCGGAGAAAGCCCCTCTTGGGATTCCCCTGCTGAGACATCTTCCGGAAACACTCCACCGGCAATTCGCTTCGCGGGTCTCGCCTGCTTCTTCCTCATTTGTCCATGCCGAGAGATCTGTCTATATCAGTAATGACGATGTTTCCCATGGTTAGTCAGGGAGGATCCCTTCCTTCCTCTTTACACCCTGTCCCCCGTAATCCCTCCCGAGCCCTCTCCCCGCCTGCTCTCCCCAGAATTTGATGTGGCACCCTGAACCCTCCGTATTTCTCCCTTTCCTCTTCACTCTCCTCCCAAAGAGATAGAGAAGGGAACTGTCTGCCCGCCTGCCACTCCACCCAACCCAACATGATTGATTGATTGATGGCAACCGACACCACGCTGATACATTCCTTCTTTCAATTTCATTGGCTACAGCAAGTGGTCTCGACGGGAAAACTTGCCAGCGGTGTTTTTGGGACCTGTTCATTCAGTTTGACCTTCCGTGCTCGTTAGGTGTTACGTGGAAGGAGAAACGTTGTGTGTGCAGTTAATCTGGTCTTTTGCAGGCTGTGAAGATGTCAGACGACAGACCGAGACGAATAAAACATAGCGGATCTCTCCAGGACAACGCGGTAACTTATTTTAGTTAAATAATGCATGTCTAAGAGTGTCTTCCCGGGAAGTATGTGAGATTAGTTTAATAGATAGCTTTTCTTCAACAGTAGAGAAGCACGGTACTAGTTTGCTTATTTTCATGGTTGTGGATACCTAGTAATTTGTATCACTGTCGAATTTTTGTTTGAATATCAAAGAATGAGAATGATCTTGTAAAATACTATAAAACTTTTTATAACCGAATAATTTTGTCATTTGCGTTATACGCCTCTACTTTGTACATTCTCGTTGTCGAGACAACAAGTTATCATGTGCTACTGCTGTTGTGAAGTAGTAAAAGATAGAAATGTTTCCTTTTTATCTTTTATGATCCAAGAAATAAAAAAATTCAGTTCTTTCAATTTTTTCTTGTCTTTTTTATTTTATATTTTTCCTTTTTTTTCTATTTTTATATTGCAGAGAACTTGTGCTATTGTCAACTGAATATAGTAATTTTCGTTTTCTCTTCTGCACTTGAATATTATATTTAGCTAGTAATAGCAGAGGGTCTCCAGTTTCTTGCAATATAAAATATGTATTATCACTTGAAAATCAAGCATAACAGTTACTCACTATTTGTCAGTTGCTACCTTTATGTTTTTTGTTTTCTGAAGCAACCGTATAAGATGAATAGAAATAGATGTGTCGATAAGGTTGTCAAAATATAACTGGTAATATTTTAAGCATGTGATGGCTTTTTTTAAATAATTTATACCACACTTGTGGCATGTTCTGAGAAATGTTAGATATTTAAAAAACACAATTACTGTCGCATATGAAATAATGCTATCTGATTTTTTGACAGAGTGCTTTATTGTTGAACATGATTCGAACATTGACAAGTAATTCCTCAGCAGAACAGAAGGAATTGGATCGTAGGCGTTTGGAAGCTGGATTTACTGAAACTTCAAAAGAAATAGATCACCTGGTTCTTGGTAAGCACTAAGAAAATGAATTTGAATTTACTACGTGACAAATATTTCTCATTTTATTTTAATTTCAGTGTTCAAAAAGATTCATAGGATAGTATTCAACTTTTTCAGTATGGTTCATGACGAAATCGCAGCTCAGTGATTCATTGAATTTTATAAAGATGTAAGAGTTGATCAAAAGATTAAAATCTTTAGAACATGAGAACGATGTGGGAACTTGTTTGGAGTCATTCAGAAATGTTTCCACTCGAATTACCGGTCGGTTTCCTTTGAAGTTTAAACCAGTGTCGTTTTAATAGGACCATGTTAGCAGTTTTATAAATAAATATTCTTTAAAATTGTCTTCATGATATGCTTGTCTTATCTTTTTTCCAGCTTGCCGTGAAAAAGTACACAGTATACGTAGTAGTTTGCTGACATGTCGTTCTCTGCTGCAATGTAGACGGGATGACTTAAAAAGACTTTGGATGGAAAATGCTCAGCAAAAACATGTCAGCACAATTCTGGCTCAAATGTATTGTGATTTTCTCGTTTAGATGATAGTTGAAATTGTATACAGGAACTTTGAAATTATGGAAATGAGAAAGAAATTTGGTTAACAACAAAGGGGGATGAGTCGTCAATGCAATATTTGATATAATAAGAGACAGCTAGTTCACTTAAGTTATATTAGCGGTTGAGTAGCAGGAAAATTTATCTGGGAATGCTGCGCATCTTTCTCGGTAGAATCATAGGAAGTATGCAGTTTTGTGATTGAAAAATTTGCTGATTATTTAGTATTTCAGATGATTTTTTTCTTTACAGAGAAGGACTGAATCGTTTAGGAAGTGAAGTTGAAGCTGCTATGGCCACTTCAAATTATCATTTAGCTGCGAATTCCTTAAACGAAGCAGGTTGTTTTTCTTTATACTTAATTATTTCAGAAACAACTGATTATTTTTGTATTATGAGTCCTAGATGTTCAGATCTTTTGTTCAATGGTCCATTTTCAAACATCGATGGATTGAATCAGTTGCGCTCACAGTTGCTTGATCTATCCAAAGTAAGTTGAAGTTTATGATAGTTGAAGTCGATGAACAATTTTGGTGAAAATTTATTTGGACATATTTTTACACTTCACATACTGTAACTTTGTTTAAACAAGAAATACTTTTCCGTCCAGTTAGTGTTTGAAAATTTTTTTTTTTTATTAATGTATTCTTTTTTTGTTTTTCTTGTTTGTTATAAACTTGTGTCGCTTTTTTAGAAACTTATAGAACGGATTGTTAATGACATTACAAATCATTTAATCATTTGGCCGTTCGAAAACCATGTAAGTTTTAACATCTGGTGCAGAAGTGATTTTGGTCAACATTTCTGATCCTAGCAATGTCTACAATTCATGGATTGTTTTCGAGTGCTCTGTATAACATTTCGAAACGGAATAGTGCTTATAATCCTGCTTGAATCTGAATCTCAAAAATTTACTTGTTAAGAACTGCTCTGCATATAGTGATCAATTTAGAATCTATTGATATAATATCAAGAAAATGAACTTTACAATTTTTTATGGCAGCAGATAATATTTAAAAATATTAAAAATAATTCGCTTGGCTCCTATTTGCGTCTCTCTAAATCAGTTATAGATTTCATTATCTAATTCATTTCCATGCCATTATTTCTTCTCGAAAGTGACGTCATTAAATTCCTGGAACTTGTATATATTGTTAATTTTAAGCTTGTTGAAATAATCAAGTCGCTGCCGGAAAATAAAGTTGCGGAATCGGCGGATTGCGTTGAAATTATGTCTCAACTTAATGTAAAGGAAAATTTTACCGTGAATAGCACATATTCCATAGCTGCTCGTTGTGCTGAGGACATTCATGCATTATGTGTGTTCGGCAGACTATCAACAACACTTCGACGCTTTTTGCATGGTTCTCCGGCAGTATTTAACCGTCTGATACATACGTCGGAAAATGTAGTATGTGTTGCGTTTGATGGTAATCAAAAAGGAGATGAACAAAATTTGGCTCGGTTTATGCAACTGGTATTGTTTTCCTTTGTTACAATTTTGACAAAATATCGCTTTTGCAGATGAAACCCTAAAGATTATTTGGTTTTTTGTATTGTAGTAACCGGAAGGTTTGGGAGATTGAAAGTTTTTAGTGAAAAATACGATGTTCAGTACCTTTACCTTTCAGACATCTTTACGTTTCGGGTTCATGATTTTTAGTTGTAAGTTTGCTGTTTTAATTTTTCCACACTTATTCAAGATGTACCTTCCTCCACATGAAGTAATTTTCGCTGTACCATCATGCAGGCTGTTTGTACAGGTGCTAAATCAGTTTCGTAGTAGCTATGAAGCACATATTGTAATGGATGCTGAACTTAAAAAACTTCGGCAAAACGACCAAACTGATTTGGGCGAGGACGAAGAAATGATATCCTTGTCCGAAAATTTTTGGGAAACAACTCAGGCTATAATCGAAGATCTAGTAGACAAGTATATCGCAGATAATGGCAATACGTCTAGTTTAGTTATGCAGAAATCGAATACATCAACTGCAGAAAAACTTATCTTGTTCAGATTTGACGCTTCTGCTTGCGCACTTACTGCTCAGTCTAGACAAACTTTTAAGCAGGTTTGGCTTTATTTCTATGATTATGGAAGTAGTTTTTTTTAAAAACTGCAAAAATAAAATTACAAAATGACAGTTGAATTTTTGTATTTTTTGTTCCAGTAATCATTTCTGTAAACCCAATTTTTCATCTTCCAACTTAAGTCTCTGATATGCCCTTCATCACCATGGAACATTATCGCTCTTTATCCACAACTTGAACGTTTCTGCAATGAACGCGAAGCTGAAATGAACGGTAAACCCTGTCGTTTGCGTTCTTACTTAGACTCATTCATTGTTAATGTCTTCATCGACCAATTCAAGTGCAAGCTTGAAGCTCTTACCGAGCAGGCACTCAATGAACAGGATGCCTGGCGTGTTCTTATGCATTATCCTAATCCGGCAAGTTTTTAAATTTATATGCATTTCCAATGAATTTTTCAGTATAAGTTAATTTATATATGTTCTGATTTTCGAGTAGATTCTTCTGTGCTTCATGATTCATTTTTTGCTTTCAGAGAATTTTGGGAAGTTGTTGGAATGTTTATTCAATCTGTGACCAAATCGGAAAATTGATCCTTGCCATGGATAAATATACAGAAAGATTATCAGTATTGTGGTTATTTGTTATTGATGAGTTTTCGAATAGCGCTAATAATATATATGAAAAAGTTGTAACTTCTTGGAAACCTACTTCAGAGGGAAAGGATTCGGTGGTAAGATGTTACCCTTTTTATGTATAAAAAATTTTCTTTTCTGAAATATTTCCACTTTATAGTTTGGCATGATAACGCATTTCGAATTAAAACATTTTGTAATACTGCTATGTAACTCATTCAAAATATTCTCCAAAAGTATTTCAGTTTTTCATATTGCGTATTATTAAGATCTTCGGGTTTATCAGCAACTTACTTTCTAACAGCTTGAACTGTATCACTTTTTTTACTTGATAAGTTCTGTTTAAGTTCTGGCTTTGGTTTTGCAAACTTATTTGTACGATAGAGCAAAAGAGAGTTTTACATGGTTGGTAATGGTGTTTAGGTTTCCAATATGAGCTATGAAGATGGATTCAAAGAAAAGCGTAAAATAAGCGCAACATGGGCAGTGGACGAAGACATATCACGTCTTTTAAAGAGTTTACCAAACTGGTTCATGGTGAGCTGTTGTGAAGGTGCTTCAACTTCCTCGGTGAATACGCCTTCCGCATTTTCACCTTCAGGTGAATCGGAAAGTGATGTATGTTACCGAAATGAAAAAGAATCTGAAATTCTTATAGGTAAACTTTTCTATAACTCAAGGGCGTATAAGAACATCGTTGATTTAAGCAAAAAAAAGATTTGTTTTTGATCGTCATTCAGTATTAATTGCTAAGCTTGTATCTTAGGTAATCTGGGAACAGCAAAACAACTTGTTCGTGATGAACTGATAACGGATATTGAAGTAATTCGTTCTCTGGCATGTATACATGAATCATTGAAATGGTTTTGTAGAAGCATGCGTTCTCTTATCGAAAAGCTTCAGGAATCGTCTCGTAAGGCAATGCGTAAATGCGTTGTACAATTACAAAGAGTAGATGAAAATGGCATTGTTCACCAGTCGGTAAGAATATCTTAGTTTATAATTTACCGATGACAGCAACATTTTATGTTCTTAGACAGGTATTAAGGTCTTTGAATATTATGTTTGGAAAAATATGCATATATACTTGTTTTTAAAAGAATATGCATACGTATTTGTTTTTAAACTTCAAAATAGGAATGTAACGGTGGTATGGTTTTTTTTGACAGATTTTTTATTTTTTTAAAGCATTAATGCTTCATCAAACTGTATATTTTTTAATACATCAAGCTATTTATTTTTATGTTGCAACTTCATATGAAAAAGACTGAAGGAATACTGCACAGCATTCAAAGAAAATTCAATATAATTCTTATAGTATAATTGATTCAATTAGAAAAAAATTACTTCCTTGAATTAATTGACTTTTAAATAATTTTAAGGAAGAACATATTGCTGCTGCACTAGATTCCAGATTAACCGATTTAGATGCAAAAGCTGATACTTGTTTATTAATAATTCACCTTGAACTTCGTGTACATTGTTTTTTCCATTTGTTACCACTGGCTCGAGTAAGGCCATCATTGCCTCATGATGAGCTCGATAATGAGGTAACGTTTGTTATTGAAAAACATGTAGGAAACCAAATATTTTTTTCTTTATCATTCCTCAGTGCTTGTTTCATCTCATGTTTTGCTTTTTTTGTCAATGATATCGCATAAACTGACAAAAAATTGTCTTTACACATAGAAAATTTTTCAAGTTGTACATAGTTGCAGGTAATTGATTTTGGGCGCGACATGGGCCATTTTCATCAAGTACTAAGCACGAATCTTCCGCCACATAAAATGAAATATCTCTTTGACGGCTTAGGACATCTTTCAGCTTCTATTTTCATTCATTCCAGGTAATAAATTTCTGTGTTGGAATTTTAATCTCTTAAAAGTATTCCACACAGTCCTTACAATGAATTCTGAAAGCAACATATTCGGATTTCTGTTTGGTATTGAAAAATACATGGAATGGATGTTAAAGATGTCATCATAATCTTGATGAGAATAGGAATTTTCAGTCAACATATGCAAAAATTGAACGAGAATGGAAAGAAACGTGTCTGTCGAAATATTTTTGCAGTACAGCAGAGGTTAAGTCAGTTGACAGGACATCGTGAAAGCGAGCTAGAAAGAGCGAGAATTTTTTTCGAATTGCTCAACCACGATCCTGATCAATTGTTGGCTTTAATTCTTGAACGGGGAGCAATATTTTCACATCTGGAATACACCTATCTTCTTGCACTTGCTCTAAGGTAATCCTCATATGTTTAAAGCTTACCAACTTTCTAAAAAAATTCGAGATTTGTTACAAAATTAATACTGTGATAAAAAGTATCGCTGTTCAGGTCACATCCGATACTAAGCGCACAACCTGGTGCTTTGGAACAAAGAATCTCCCAGCTGAAGACGATTTTAGCACAACTGAAAAAGTGAAAACAAATGTGTTATTGAATTTTATGGAAAAATCACCTGAAAGTCGTTTCTTGATTGATAATTTCTGCTGTCCATTTATTAATGGAACATTTCAGCACTGCTTAGTATTGACATTAACATTGCGTATTGCATATTTATCATTTTTTTTAAAAGATCATGCATGTTTGTATGTTTTATTTATCGACGGTGATTTATATTCATATGGGTGATTTTTGTATTTATTCGTTTTTTATATTGTAAGATATATGGTATAACAATGTTCTGAAGGTCCTATATTTGATGAATCAATATTTTCAAGATTTTATAACACTGTGCTTTTTAATGATACCTTTTGTCTGAACTAATATGGAAGTTTTTGTTGGTAGGATATCGTCCTCCGAACTATCGATGTATTTTTATTTTTTATGTTTTATAGTAATGGTTATGGTATTTTGCTATTTGATATTAGTCACTTTGTATTTTTAGAAGTTCTGATGGTTTGTAGAAATGCGAAATTGCGAATTTATTTTTGTAGGACTGTAGGACTGGCGCAAATGGAGGGAATCGTGCTATCTTAGCAGTTTCATCTATCTATAAAACAGCTGGAATAACAATTTAATATGATTACCAAGCCTCCCTACATTTAATAAGTATAATGTTAGGTGAGACATTGAACTTTATATACAAAATCTCACGAGTTATTCAAATTTGATGCTGGAGAGCCCACAATTACCTTCAGTCGCTGACTTATCGTTTGATTATAATGGCAGCAAAACACATTTCAATATAGTTCAGTTCGCCAACGTTAACGTTGTTATTATTTCTGATATCGAAAAGATTGGGCAAATTGTACATGTAAGTTATGCCTTACGTTTTAACAAAACAGTAATTTTAAAATATTAGCTTACTTTGTTAAGAGTTGTCTGGAAATTTTCAGGTAATCTTTCCTGAAGCAGTCATTACTTCTAGACTTCAACCGACGCATAATATTGATTACGACACGAAAGTCCTTCTAGGGGCACCACTGGTAATATTATTACTCAAAGTAGTACGTCTATTGCTGGTAGCAGAATTACTGCATACCAATCACTTTTGAGCAAAGTAGGTAATTACTCAGGTCGATTATTAATTTGATTAAGCATATTAAGCACATTAATCATTGGGCAAATTGTACATGTAAGTTATGCCTTACGTTCTAACGAAACAATAATTTTAAAATATTAACTTACTTTGTTAATCTTAGATGTTGAGATTTTTATTTTCGATCTCTCTTCGTTTCATTTTAGTAACATATCCATTTTTCATTTGAGTTGTTTTTATTTATCCTTAACATTTCAGATTCGTGCAGTTTAGTTTTTTCAGGGTGATTTCGACCTTCTTTTGAATCGCTTTGTGAAAACATTAGTTGAACACAATAAACGGTGTGATTTCCTGTTTTCATTGGGTCTAGACCATTTCGACATAGATCATGTGCGGTGCATTGTGGAAAAATTCAATGAATACTTATCACATTAAAGTAAGTTAAGAAAGATGAAAAACTGGAGAAAAGAAAGAATGAAGATGACTCGAAATAAAGGAAAATGCGGTAGGATTACTATTACTCGCAATGTAACCTAACTTACCGGATGTTCCAAGTCGAATTTTTTTCAGTCACTTGAGTTCTAAATTTACAGTAGAATGTGGAGTCAGTACGTGTTTACTATAGCCAGTTAAAGGCATTTATATTACTATTTGACAAAATAAGCTCACCCTTACTTTATATACTGAAGTAACAAGCTTGGCAACATAACTAATGTGAAAGAATTTAGTTCCTAAAAATTTTCAGATTTTATCAAAAAATATCTTTTGGAAAATGTTTTCTCAAATACAGTTCCGGCGATTTTGTTCTAAAAGTGTACGTGCCAATTGTATATTCTTGCCTAAAACTTCGTTCAAGAAATTCATAAAATCTCGTGATAGAGCCAGGCTGGATTCAGAATTGGCATGTTTAGCAAAATTTGAAGAATTTTATAATTGGCAGTTGAACGAATCAACCAGGCAGTCATTTCCAATGTTAGTTTATGAGTTATGAATACTTTCAGTGCAAAATGCAGATGTTTTGAATTGCTGTTTTTAAGTTCTGCTTTCTTTTAGTTTGTTCATGAGTAATTTATGGAATTTTAGATTTGAACTTTTGGATGGTCCACCCTATGCAAATGGTGACGTGCATGTTGGACATGCTATCAATAAAATTTTAAAGGATTTTGTTGTTCGTAGTCAGGTTTACAGTGGGAAACGTGTTTTATTTCGTCCAGGATGGGATTGTCATGGACTTCCAATTGAATTAAAAATAGCAAGAGACAATCAGCAAAAAGTTATTACATTGTGTTCTTTTATAAAATGGTATATAAGATTTTATAGTGAGTTGCTCATTTATTTTACTAGTTTTATGTTGGAGTATTTTAAAATATCTTATTTCTTTTAAGAAATTAACAAGCCTTATTTCTTTTTTCTCTTCAGCTAAGAAATTCGATGCTTAAGGTTAAGGTCACTTCGCTCGTTGAAACGCGAAAAGCAGCTCGGCAGATAGCACTGCATTCAATTGCGTCACAACAGAATTCATTTAAGAGATGGGCAGTCACAGCTGATTGGACAAATCCCTACTACACTATGGATAAGAAATATGTTGCGAAAGAACTCAGGCTTTTCGGTGAATTGTATAAGCTGAAGATGATTTATCAAACATTTATGCCGGTTTATTGGTGAGCTTGTACTTGTTTTTACAAATTAATATGAGCTTTCCATTGCATCCACAGTTTTTTTAAGTTTAAATAACATGAAAAAATTCACTTAAATTATGGGGAATTTTAATCATCAATTAAAATAATGGAGAAGCAAGAAAACAAGTATTTAAATTTGCGTTTATTAAGTGGCTAATAAAGTACTGCCTTTTTCAACAGTTCTGTTTTTTTGGTTTGTTTTTTTTTTTTGTTTGTTTAAAAAAATATGGCTTAAAAGTAAGCTCCGCTCACTGTGTTTTATAATACAATTATTTTATATAATAATTGTTTTTTGTATTCTCTTTAACTTTTGGTCAGTTCAGTGCCATAGAGGATTTAAAAAAGGGTACTAAGGCATATTTTTTAGATAGGAATGAAGTGGTAATAGCAGTTTTGTTTTGGGAATTTTCATAATTTCAGGTCTCCAAGTTCATTTACAGCTTTAGCTGAATCAGAATTGGATTATATGGACCACAGCAGCACAGCTACTTTTTATCGATTTGCGGTAGTTTGTAATATTTTTAAGCCCTTAACTAGTTACTATTGCTATAGCAATTTTAACTCTAGTTAGTAATCTTTCATCAAATTAGTTTCAAATTGATCTTCCCCTAAAAAGCTGAGTAAAAATGCTTACAGATAATAAATTCTGGATTCATCCTTTCTAAATGTAAGGAAGAGGAACGACCAACAAAACTCTATGCATTAGTTTGGACAACAACTCCGTGGACATTACCAATGAATAATGCAGTTGCTTATAAAAAAGATGCGATTTATACAGTGGTTGAATTGCTTGCTGATGGACACTATCGGTTCAAACTTACATTGGCTTAATGCAAGGAGGATCAAAACTTTAACTGAGCATTTAGATAATTGAATGACTTTACTAGCTGATTAGTTATTTAATTGTAATCCACAAATAATTTTGCAGGCGCCCAACCCGTCATTTATATATTTTGGCTAAGGATCTTATTAGCAATTTTGAGAAGGAAACAAAAATCGTGACTAGGATATTACTCACTTTTGTTGGTATTGAACTGGAAGGCCTTGTATACCGAAGTGCAATGTTCAGTGATTTGGCACAGCCATTTATAGAGGCGAGCCATGTAACTACTGATGTTGGAACTGGTCTTGTACACCTAAGTTATGCACATGGCTTAGATGATTTTAAAGTAAATCCTTTCAATTATTTGTGAATATTATTTTAGAAATTTAAAAAACTTTTCATTTGTCAAGTAAGAAGATTATGAAAAGTTTACTGTTTTACTACAGTTCTTGTTTGTCCAACATTCTCTTTTAGGTAGCATTGAAACTTGGTGAAAGAGTGCGTTGCTTTGTGGATGAATGGGGGTGCTATACAAGGGATCTCGGTCATGATTTAGAGGGTAAAAATGTTTTGAACGAAGGAAACGATCTCGTACTGAAAATGTTCAGGAAAAACATTATCTACACACATCAGTACAAGCATCGATACCCTTATGACTGGAGAACAAAGCAGGTGTCATATAATTCTATAAAAAAACTATTAGTGAGGATTTCATAGCAAATTAAGTGGTTGCGGTTTCCAATTAATCAATGGTCAAAACAGTTCTGAAATTTGGAGTGGAGTTGTAAAAGCTTTTTTATGGAATGAGATTGCAATGTGTAGTAATGTTTGCTGAATGCATAAAATTAGCGCACAATTTTAGCCAGTAATTATACGAAGTAGTAAACAGTGGTTTATTGATGTTTCGCAGGTTGGTGTTGAAGCAGCTAGAAAAATAAAGATCGAAGCACTGCCTATAGGAAGTCCTCATTCAGGTAGAAGATTATGTTTGTTTAGCTTAGTGTTTTTTTTTTTTTTTTTTTTTTTCGTGTTTAATAATTCTTTGTAATACGATCTTTCATTTATTATCTTTTTTTTCTTTTAAAGATAAAACAGAAGCTCTGTTAACGCAACTAAAAAATCGGATTGCTTGGTGCATTTCACGACAACGATGCTGGGGCACACCGATTCCTGCATTTTATAGGGAGGACGGGAGTGTTGTTGTGGGTGAGGATATCAGCAATGCTGTGGCAGAAAGCATCGAAAAATACGGCACTGATATTTGGTGGGAATGTACGGCGAATGAATTACTTCCTACAAAAGTATTATTTATCAAGTTTATTATTTAGTTTTCTGTTCATTAATTGGGGATACTTTGGTTCTTTTACTTCGTAATTATTTTTCAATTTATTTTGAAGAAAAAAATGAATGCTTTGTTTGAATTGAAGGACATAAATAAAATGCCGTAAATCGGAAAACCGGGGGCTTAACTTCTCAGTTCATTTAAGCACTGAAAAAATTGCAGTTAATGAATAAATATGGAATTAGAGCAGAAGAAAAATTGGAAAAGTCGCGCGATATACTAGATGTGTGGATGGATAGCGGTGTTGCATGGGCATCAGCACGTCAAAGGACAGAACCTGTGGATCTGATTCTGGAGGGCGTTGACCAGTTTCGAGGGTGGTTCCAGTCACTTACGTTAACTTCATTTGCTTTGAATGTTGGTTATAATATGCTTCAAGTAGTTTGTATACCTCAGTCAAATTAGTAGGCCGATATCACAAACCTAGTTGAGCAGAAATGCATTTACGAATGCCAGAGCCAACAGTATTATGTTTAGTGGATAAGTGGATCACTTTTGTATTAGTTTATGCTGCAAGGTTACTTTTATCATATCAACTGGATTTGTATATAAAATTTTTAATTTTATTAGTTTCACTTTCTTATTAGCAGCTGCTTTTATTTCAGAAAAAATTGCCATATAAGTGCATCTATGTTCATGCCTTTGCAGTGGACGAAAACGAACAAAAAATGTCCAAATCTTTAGGAAATGTGGTCAGTCCTGAACTGGTTTGTTTTCCATTCTCCAAAAGAAAACTGTGAAATATCTGGAAGGAAAAGAAATATTCATTACGACATAACTCCATTTTCATAAATTACTCAACGTAGTACATAGGAATCCACAAATATAGATTTTATAGTTTTAGACATTTTTAATGCAGTTTTGTAAAAGGTGTCCGATTTTCATTGTGTAGTCTTATTGAGAAGTATGCGAATGAAAATTTGGTTAAAAGTTACTGAACTAATAGAATTTGAACTGGAGGTTCTAAAATCGCAATAATTTTTTTTTTTTTGATTTCGTGAGCAGATTACAGATGGTTCATTGAAAGACGAACCTCATGGCGTCGACGGTCTTCGTCTTTGGGTTGCACAGTTTGGTTGCGAAGGCGATAAAGCACGAATAGGCTCTTCAGTTATGGAAGAAGTTAGACGAAACTATACACAGTTGCGTGCTTCATTCTGGTTTCTGCTTGGTGCAGTCTATGGTTATAAAGGAGTCATTTGCTGTGATGAGAAATTTTATATTGATAGGGTGAGCAGGCCTTACAGTTCAGAGAAATTTTTAATAATATGGATGAATGTAACTTACAGTTACAGAGAAGGAAAACTGCTTATATTGTTTTGTCATTCTTATTCTTTTTATCATCTAGTATATTGAATTTATTTGACCGATTTTGAAAGGACTGCTTTGTTCTTGTTGCATTTAAATTTATTACTGTTTGACAGTCTCAAAAATTATTTTGTCTGGTTTATCGCTGATCTGAATAGATAAATTACAAGAATTTTTTCAGTATATTTTACAAGAATTAGCAAAATTTACACAGCGATGTCTCAAAAACTGGAACGAATATCGTTTTCCCTTAATGGTTAACGAATATATGCAGTTCTTGCAGCATCCGCTCAATTCTCCTTATATTGTAAGCAGTATTTCTTGTATTTTTGTACTAAATTGTATTGAAGAAATTATGATTTGCTGCCGTCTCTTTCTCTTCATATTTGGATCATAGTCGTCCGGTTAAGTAAATGTAGCTTGTTAACAACCAGTGTCTTTGCATTAATGCAAACAAACTGTTTCACCATTGTAAATTAAAAACCGGGATCTCCTAAATGGTGTATTTAATATGATCTACTGTACTTTAAGTAGTTTTAAATTAAGAAGGATTTTTTTTTTTTTTTTGATATTTAGATTTCAGAATAGTGTAAAAAATAGGCTGTACTGTGGATTGCTTGCTGAAAGACAGAATGCTCAGTCAACATTGGCAAAAATTGGACTGAACTTAGCAGCACTTCTTGCTCCTATATTGCCTCATTTGGTGGCGGAGTTTTTCATGCATCATCCAAGCATTAAGGATGCTGCTGTTGCTCTGAGGTAAAAAATGTTTTTTATCTAGCGATTTCTTTTCAGTAGGTGATTGAAGTCTTCGACTGAAAGCAAATTTCGGTTAAATTGAACTTTAATTTTTTTTTTCTTGAAATACTGTTTCCATTTTCATGGAATGCAATCAATTTTACTACTCCGGTGACTCAAATATAGATGAATTATATTCCGTCATGGATCCTGCTCTCAACATTCGAACTGAAATGTTGAAACAGTATGGACAAAAGGATCTATCTAGATTGGTATGCAGTTCATAAGTTTTCAGAAATCCGTGAATAAATCAGCCAATGAGCAGAGTGTTGCATATCTCTTTATGCAATATAAAGAGACAGGAATTCCGGTAAAATAATTTTATCAGTTCCAGTAATTTTGCTTATTTTTAGGGAATTTTAATAAGAGGGCCCGATCTCATCCTTCAGAAACTGTATCCACTACAAATAGAATCATGTTCGTATTACTCGCAGCTAGTGGAAATTCTTGGTGTTTCTATGGTTCGAATGGAATGTGATAATACCAGTAAACAAATCATAATTCATTCGGTGGCTTGCGAACGAGAATTTTGTAAACGTTGCAGAAGGAACGTTAGACCTAAAGAAGAGAAATACTGCGATCGATGCTCAAAATCGATAACTGAAAATGAATTACTCCAGAAAATGGATGTTGGGGATAATTTTGCAAAATTTTCATTAATTTTATGATAGGTAAGTGGTCGGTGATGTTTAGTGCAAAATCTGATAAGTTTGCAAAGTGTAAGATGTCTTATTAGTGCTCTGTTTCATAAAAATTTATCAGGAAAGTGTGGAATGTTCGTGAATTGAATTTCCGATCGATACTTTATCAATTTAAAAAGCTTTTTTTTTTGTGCTTCTTAAGTTCTCTTGCTTATTAAAATATCTGGCTATTGTGAATTGATAATATAAATTAAGGGACTAGAAATGCTAACAAAAAATTCCTAACAGACAGAGGATGAATGTGAAACACCTACAAATTTACAACTGATCGTTGGAGTCATCAAAATGGCATCGAATCAGTGGTTTTATGAAGTATGATTATCTTTTGTCTCCATTCAGATATTTGATCGTCTATAGTACTCTTACAAAATGGGAAATAATTTCTCTCGTTTCATTTAGTTCGTTAGCTGAATTTTAAATCTGTTTCGAAGCACTACTGTTATGTTTTCGAATCATTTACTGTGATGTTGTGATTATTTTTATCAATCAGATAACACAGTTCATTTCTTATTCGATTCTAAATAAAAAACTGGACTGAAATAGCAGTTCGTAGTTCTTGATCGTGTTTTCTAGAAATCCATATATTATCACTGTTTTAATAATTTACCGTGTTGTTCAGTGTATGGAAATTCCATATAGAATGTATAAGCTGGTTATCGAGTAGCTTATTAGCTTGGTAAAGTAAAAAAGTCAATAACTTCCTAGTTTTTATGAAGAATCGGATTGGCCTTGATTGATAGTAATGTTACAGTTACAGGTGAATTGGTTTTTATACATCGAGATATTAAAAGGTGTCATCTTAATCAAGAATTTGGTGTTGTAAGGGTAGAACCAATGCAGTAGTAGGGAAATATTTGCAATGAGGAGATGCATATAAAGGATATATACAAATGTTTTGGAAGAGAAGCTTTTGGACACTAAGGAATCAAAGTACTGTTAAAGTCGACTGTTTCATTTTTATCGTGATAGGCAGGGTGAGTGATGGTGATGCGAGGTGCTAACAATCAGTCGTCGCAAATTCCGCTGTAGTCTGTGTTGCATTACGTGCTGTAGGTGCTTCCACAGCTCTTTAATATTTTTTTTTATCTCTAAATCTTCACGTATATTCAAGTCATGATATTGAGAAACAATGGAAAAATTTTGAAAGACTCATATTTTAAGCTTCGGAAGAAGGTAAAAGTAGATACTTCGGGAAAACTGATTTAGCCATGATGGAAATATTTTTCGGCCATGATGTTTCTTAATCCATTGAGCGGTAGCAGTTCTTTATATTCGGAAGCGAATACTTTAGTATATGATGAAATAAATGATGCAGCCTTTGTTCGCCAAGAGTCATTTCTTGGGAAAAGAACTGCCGGAAATTTAACTATTGTTTCTGGAAGAAACACTGTTAATGGACGGTATAGGACAAAGAAAGGCATAATTTCAACTTCGAACACTGTTGATGGGGAGTCAGCAGAATCGACAGTACTCGCTACGAAGAATTTAAGTTATGTCGATTTTTTTTTGCCGAGAATTCCGAGCTGAACAATTTAAGAAAGTTATAAAATTGCTTCAGTAATAATTCCTTTGTATATATTTTAAATCTGAATTATTGGAGAGCATTTGCAAAATCCAACATCAATCCCTAGAGTGTGCCATATTTCCTAATATAGATTTCTAAAACATTTTCTTTATTTTGTAATTTATTGTTTAATACAATCTTTGAGTAACTAATTACTTAAAAAAGTCAAAATGAGAGAAACTGATGATAAATTGCTACTGCGCCTTCAGTTTTAGTTTGGTCATGCTTCAGGTAATTGGTTGATTTATCCACTACGTAAGATAGGCAGCATGAATCAGCTAAAATTACAAAAGGTGATCCATGATGCAATACACGAGAAGCAAATGGAATTATTAGAAGATGAATCAACAAGACAGTAAGACTGAATATTTGTATATGTGGATCGTGTATGAGACAAATGTTATAAAAGGTAGAAATGAACTGGCTTTTTCATAGATTCGGCAGGTCGCACATTTATTATGTTGTATTTTGTATATATATTGCAAGCATTTTGCTGTAAATGAAAACTGTAAAGAATAACAAAATGAAGGACAAAGCAATAAAGATGAAGTCGTCTACATCTCTCAGTTCAGTGTATGTGCATGCAAGAAGTCTACCTTATCACTAATTTTTTATGGTGTGGATTAGATATATGTTAGAATTATCATGCGTTATATCTACTCCTACTATTCGATACATGTTTACTTGTTTTCACTGTTCTCCAGCGTATTAGCTCCATTCATGATATCCGTGATGTAATTATAAAGACTGCTTGTACACCCTACTTCATATGTCACATTCTTACCAACTCAGTGATTACTTCATATCTGACTACTGGCCACATATATTATTTCTAATCTTGTGGTAATTAGTGATGGCATTGCTTCTGTTCACCTCAGATTATAAGCAGTTACTGACCAGCTTGATTTCTTTCTATTGAGATCTCGACATCAAATATAATCATACCTCGCTGACTCTCTTTATACTTCTTCACTTTGTTAGGAAAGAGCACTAGTGGACCGTGCAAGACGGAGAAAAAGGGTGACTGAAAGTGCTAGATCGGAAGGACCATCACATTAATGATATGGATATAAGGAGAATGCAGTTTAGGGTTTTCACGGGGCACTCTAGTTGGTAGTTTTGACCGAGACTTTTATTGAAACTAGAGGAACAGGTGCTGCGTAATAAGACTAGTTAGTTCTAACCAACTACCGCTGATGTTTCGGAAATTAACTGCAATGGATCTCCACGCTGCAAAAATTCGTTGATCTTTGGGAGGTGAACTTTGATAAGATAGACAAATATTTAAAAAACTAGCTGTCAAGCATCGTAATCAGTCGCTTCATATATGGTCCAAGTTAGGCCGAACAAAATTAGTGTAATTTGTATCAGACATAAGTTGAGTCAAACGTTAAAAAAATTGAACTTAAAATTCATTGCTATTTATTATATATGATCATTTACACATGCGGAAATATTATTGCCGTTATATACATTGCCACATAAGATTAAATGAATGGAAATTCTTTTGAAAATGCAGGAATGCCACGAACGTATGAAGAGGAATGCAGCTATATTGAACGTATCACAGATGTTGTGTACAGAATCAAAAAAGGATTCGTTCCAAATATGAATGTAAGTTAACGAGCTCGCCTGCGGTCTTCAGGTATTCGATGCTGTGCTGTTAGGCAAATCCACTAATTCCAATTTCACAGTGTATGGAAATTTGTTTGATTTGTCAAGTTTGAGCGTTTGTTTACTTTATATTCTTAATTCAGAAATTAACATGTTCACAAAACAAGTTCAGCAATGTTTTATAGGTCGAAGGACGCTTTTACGTCAATACAGCTTTAGAAAAACTGATGTTTGAAGAGTTGAGAAATGCGTGTAGATTGGATGGTATCGGCGGATTCTTGCCTGCGGTACGCCAAATTGGAAATGTCGCAGCACTCCCTGCTATTGTTAACGTAAGAAGAAATGTGAATATGCTTTTGTCCAGCATGTTCTAAATTTGTTTCTATAATAAGTCTATTTTGATATCTTTATTGAATAAATTCGTGCAGTAAGTTTCAGGCTTCTATTGGTTTGCCGGATATACATTCCGGTTATGGATTTGCTATAGGAAATATTGCTGCATTCGACGTTTCTGATCCAGATGCTATCGTATCGCCAGGTTTTTTGCAAATTTTTAAACTGTGTGATTATTCAAATTGCTTTAGTGATGTTTAAACTATGCATTTCATGTTTGAGTTTTTTTATATGCAGTGAGTTCGCTTTATTGTTTGTTTTATTTGTCAATTTTCTCATTACTAGCTACTATATAAACCAAAAGTTCTCAAATAAAATGCGGTAAACCTCCCTGTTCTGATATATTTGAGCATTTCCTGTTATGTAGTAACTTGCTTCCTAGAAATCATTTTGTTAAGCATTCCACTTACTTTTTTAAAATTAGTTTCTTCCAAACTAGGAGGCGTCCTAATCGAATGATATCGTCTAGGCTGAAATCATAAATTAGTGAAAGAGAAATGATTTGAAGTTTTGATATTAAAACGTTTTCAGTATAAATGCTTGGAATTTACACGGAAGATGTTTAAGGTAAAACGTATACTTCGGAAAAAACGGACGGTTAGAAAATAATTTCTTAATTTAAATCTCTGTATATGTAAATTGGTTAAGTAGTATAAGTTTTTTAGGTGGCGTTGGTTTTGATATTAACTGTGGCGTCCGTTTAATTCGAACAAATTTGTCTGAGAAAGATGTTCAGCCAGTAAAAGAACAGCTCGCTCAATCGTTATTTGATCATATTCCGGTGGGCGTGGGATCAAAGGGTATCATTCCAATAGGAGCTCAACAGTTCGAGGTATGCTAAAATCCAACCATCTGTCTTGAAAAAGTACTTCAAAAAAAAATTTTTTTTTTGCCATAAAAAATGTTTTTCAATTTAGGAATGTCTTGAAATGGGTATGGATTGGACTCTGCGTGAAGGGTATTCGTGGGCAGAAGATAAAGAGCACTGTGAGGAGTATGGAAGGATGCTTCAGGCCGATGCTGCCAAAGTTTCACCCCGTGCCAAAAAGAGAGGACTTCCACAGGTTTATTAAACATATGAAGCATATATGTATATATATATAACCTAATGAAAGTATTGCAAAACTCCGGTTTTCTTGATTTCAAAACTAATAAATTTATGTTTTATTAGAGCTATATGTAGTGATATTTGAGTGAGAAAGTGTTGAGGATCATTTCAGTAATTTTGCTTTATAGCTAGGGACTCTGGGAGCTGGAAATCACTATGGAGAAGTACAAGTCATTGATGAAATATATGATGAATATGCGGCTAGTAGAATGGGCATCGACAGACTGGGTATATTGTTATTCTCGGTATTTACTGTTTGCAAATTATCCTAAATGAAGAAAAAATGAACTGCTAGTGCAAACAATTTGAAGCTCAATCTATTATTGTTACACATAATGTACATTGAATTAGCAAATTTCAGGTATTCTTTCTGTAATGTTAAGTTTAGGTCAAGTTTGTATAATGATTCATTGTGGTAGTCGCGGTTTGGGACACCAGGTTGCTACAGATTCATTAGTGGTTATGGAGAAAGCTATGAAACGAGATAATATAATTGTCAATGACCGTCAGTTAGCCTGTGCGAGAATTAACTCTTTGGAAGGTAAAGTTTATTTTCGAATTAGTCATTTGCAGCCATTATTTCTTCTTCTGTGAAGTCTACTATTTAATTTCTTTTGTTCTTCAACTTTTTAGGGCAAGATTATCTCAAAGGTATGGCGGCAGCTGCGAATTTTGCATGGGTGAATCGATCTTGCATGACATTTTGCGCAAGACAGGTAAAATTTTTCTTTATATTGAGAATTTAAATCAGTCGTTTTTCAAGATATTTTAAAGTCCTGATTTGATTTAATAACAGTGAAAATGCACGTCGAAGAAAAAATTTTTAAAAATTGTCAAATTCTATTGTAGGCTTTTGCAAAAGTGTTCAACACCTCACCAGATGATCTGGACATGCATGTTATATATGATGTCAGCCATAACATTGCTAAAATAGAGGAGCATCTTATAAATGGAAGGCCAAAACAACTGTGCGTGCATAGGAAGGGTTCAACACGTGCTTTCCCTCCTCATCATCCTCTCATTCCCGTAGATTACCAACTTACAGGTTTTTTCCTTTACTGATTCAATATTGAAAATAATAATGTTGAAAACAGTTGTTCATGTGAGGAAACTAGGCAAGTTTAATCGGGGGAAGAAATAACTGTATTTTTTTTCCAATTAAGATCGAATAATTTCGCCTTAAACTGGGATGCAGCCCTTCAGGCTTCTTTATAAACCTGCCCTCTTAAAAAATGAAAATTTGATTGGGAATTCGAGCCCTTATTTAATTTAAATGCGTCAGCACCCAAACTCGAAAATTAGTTTTGTACATTTTACTAAAAGAGAAATTTCTCATAGCTATTGTTGATTCGAAAAAAGGATAGTGTTTAATTTCAAGTCTTCACGGTAAGGTTGTTGATTTTACGAAAAAAAGGATAGTGCTTAATTTCAAGCATTCACGGTAAATTTAAATTAATGTTCATGGAGGTACTCATTCTTTTATTACTCCAAAATCACTTTTTTTTAAAGGACAACCAGTACTAATTGGTGGTACGATGGGTACCTGTAGTTACGTTTTGACAGGCACTGAACAAGGGATGAATGAAACATTTGCTACTACTTGTCATGGAGCGGTAATCTTTTGTGAAAATAAGAACAAAATAAAATGCTACGATATACAGATAAATAATACATCTTTTTTCTTTTCTTTCGTAATTTAGTATAGTGAGCAAAAAATTACACGGAAAGTTCTGTTTTACTTATCTATTATTGAGTTTTGAAATTTTTAGGGTAGGGCCTTGTCTCGTGCTAAATCGAGACGAAACATAGATTTTCAAGAAGTTTTGAACAAGATGCAGGCAATGGGTATATCAATTCGTGTGGCTTCTCCAAAACTGGTTATGGAAGAGGTAAGCTTATAATGAAAAAATAAGCAAGTGTATTTTTTGGATAGCAGTACGGACTAACATAAGAAATTGCAGTCAACAGATTTTTTCATCAAGCTTCACTGTTTCTTGACCATGCCATGTACGAGCATTCTAGGATCCGATATTCAGCATTCCACTCATCCTTTTTACTTGGTCCATTGGTTAGATTTTAACTGCACACCAAACATTAAACTGTGCAATAAAAATAGAAATGTCAGTGTAAAATCTGGTTTCAAGAAGGAATTCATGTAAAATGAAAGAAGCACTTGTATGGGTTATATTACACTGTAAATCAAATAAAAATAAAAATAATTTGACGAAACTTGACGGTTTTAGG